CTCTTCTCCTGTCATAACGGATTCCACATCAGGCAGTCCCGCTGAGACCTGGAGTGTCCGGCTGGGTCTAAATAACTCACTTTCACAGCATCCAGCAATTCCCTTGGGCATCACTGATGTGCCTTCACCAAAGCCGTGGTTTCCTTTCTCTGTTTCCCACCAACTTTTCTGAATTAACTAGTGAAGAATGTGCTAAAACATTCAAAGACTCTGCAAACCCCATAACAAGCAGAGCCAGCCACCTGCTGAAGGCGTCCTGGGGCCAGCAGGCCCACCAGGAAGCAGTTCTGACTGGCCCTTTGTCAGTGGATGCACCTGGGACCAGGTGTGCCCGTGATGTGCAGTGCAGGGGCGGCACTGTACCAGTCCAAATGCGCGAGAGACGGGCGCTCCTGGTCGGGGGGAGGCACGTGCGGAGCAAAGCTTCACCCATCTCGGGAAGGTGCAGGGCCTTCTTAGGCATCCTGAGTCTGTGCCGAGGGCCGCCTGGGCAGCTGCAAACTCCAGCCCAGGCACAGCCCTCCGTGCTCAGCACAGAACCCATTCCATCCCGGGATCCTGGCAGGAGAGCTGGGCAGGAGCGTGGAAATCCCTGTGGATGTCCACTTCCTTAATTCAAATATTCGATGGTCAACCTGTGTCTCTTTCAATTCAGGATACACAGGGCCATGCCAGTACTTTTTTTTTTTTTTTAACACCTGATCTTGGGGGAAGACGTTGTGGGGAAGGCAGATGGCGAATATTTTTGAGGAGCGGCTCGCGATGCCGTGAAAGTGGTAGGAGTTCCCTCCAAGGAAGCGTGTCAACAGCACGTCTCCATGAACCCTGGAGGGGGGAAGTCTCTCTGAGCGCAGTTTTGGCTCCAGCTCCTGCCCCACCTGACCCAGTAAACTATACAAGGGCAGCGGCCATTGAAGGCTAAAATTAGCCCTTTCCGGGGCTTGCCAAGGAGCTCGGATACTTCCAGTGGTTACTCTGCAGGCTCGGGTGACAGAGCAGTATGTCCTGGTGTTGCCACAGAGGGGAAGAAAGAATTTCCTGCCTTACTTTTCCCAGCAGTTTGGCCACAAGCAACAGTCGATTTGGCCTTTGGTGAGAGTCCCGCTTGGATCACAATTGATCTCAATCTCAATCAATATTGAGAAATAGTGATTGGTCATCCATGATGTGCCTGACCTAAGGCTGGGTGCTGTGTACAGAGACACACAAGACGGGCCAGAGCATGCGCCCAGAGCCGGGATGGCAGCCCCCCCAACCGGCCCCAGCACTCATGGCCACACGGTGCACAGCCGAGTCCTGATGATCGTGGAGACCCAGGAGCCAGGAAGCATCCCAAGGGAAGGCGGCACTTCACCCCGGTCAGCCAGAGCCGGGTTACAGTTCCTCTCTTCCTCACCAGCTGTGCGGCTGAGCCTGTGGCCATTTGGAAATGGTCAGAAAGGAAGAGACGTGGCTGGGATGGAGAGGGAGAGGAGGACCGGAGTGGAAACCAGACAGCCAACGTCTTCTTTGCTTGAGACAGGGCGTGACTTTCCTGCGGCGAAACCCAGCAATGCGGATGAGTCGTAAGTGGACAGCTGGGTGAATCTGTCACACCAGTTCCCGCAACCACAGCCCAGGACAAATACATAAAGGCAAAAATCACAGGACTTGTGTGAGGTTGCTGGGACCAGTCCCGCCCGGCTACTGCACTGCTTGCCAAGCAGTGGCTGGGGCTGCTCTCTCTTGCTCTGCCGTCCTGGGGATCAGGAGCACCGCTCACAGATGAGGGCAGACAGAGCTTGCATTTCTTTCTTTTTTTCCCTCAAAGTTTTTTTTTTTTTTTATTATGTATTTAGAAGAGTTAGAGAGAGGTAGAGACAGGGAGGGGGAGTCTCCCATCTGCTGGTTCACTCCCCAAATGGCCACAATGACTGGAGCTGAGCTGATCCGAAGCCAGGAGCCAGGAGCTTCTTCTGTGTCTCCCATGTGGGTGCAGATGCCCAAGCACTGTAGCCATCCCTGCTACTTTCCCAAGCGTATTAGCAGGGAGCTGGATCAGAAGTGGAGCAGCCGGGACTCGATCTGGCTCCAATATGGGATGCTGGCACTGCAGGCTGGGGCTTTAACCTGCTGCACCACAGCACTGGCCCCAAGCTTGCATATCTGTCTGTCTGTCTGTCTCTCTCTCTCTTTCTTTCTTTCTAGATTTATTGATTTATTTGAAAGGTAGATTTTCAGAGAGGCAGAAGCAGAGAGAGGGAGAGAGAGGTCTTCCACCATGGTTCACTCCCCAAATGGCCACAACAGCCAGAGCTGCACTGATCCAAAGCCAGGAACCAGAAGCCTCTTCGGAGTCTCCCACGTGGGTGCAGGACCCAAGCACTTGGGCCATCTTCTACTGCTTTCCCAGGCCACAGCAGAGAGCTAGATGGGAAGTGGAGCAGCCGGGTCTCAAACAGGCACCCATATGGGATGCCGGCACTGCAGGCGGCAGCTTAACTCGCTACATCACAGTGCTGGCCCCGTCCATCAGTTTTGAGTTAAAATGCACCACTTCCTTAAGAGATAGCTGCCATCCCCATTGCTCAGATAACCAGACGGAGGGTGAAAGAGAAGTCCAACCTCGATTTGACAGCCCAGTCGTGTCCTTCACCGTTATGCAGTCCTGGTGCAGAAAGGCTTTCGGAGCCTGGCTCATTGGCCTGTAGGACACATAAGCAGATGAAAAAGAATCAAAAGCTACAAATGCTTCCAAGGCCCTGGACGCCCACCAGCAGGCCACATTCTCAAAGTCGCCACAGTCTCCATGGCAGAAGCTGGCTTCCAGTGCGAGAGCCTGGCCCGGCGCCCGGCACGCTGTGGCCGCTCCGTGAATGGTTCCTGCATGAGTCACGGCGCGTGCGGAGGAGGCGTGCGTGAGGACTCTGCATTCCTTCGGCAGCAGACAGAAGAAGCCGCTTCGAAGCTCCTCCAGCCCTGCACTGCACGTGGGACCCGCACCCCTCCATCTGCTGTAGCCGCCTTCACACCATGAGTCAGCACCAGCCCACAGCCAGGTGGAACAGGGCTAAAGAGACCGTGCGGGGGTGGAGGCTGCATGTAGGGTTTTAGGCAGGTAAATGGGAGTGCATTCTTAGCAATGGCTTCAATTTGGATTATTTAATAACCGCTCTATTAAATGCTGGTTTTCTACATTGAATAGCTACTAATATATATCTCTCTGTGTGTATGTGAGCGTGTGTGTTTGTGCTTATATATGTAGATATATATATGTATATATATATATATATATATATGTATATATATATATATATATATATATATATATATAGGGGGTCCTCGCCAAGTTCGCTGGAAGTGCACAGTACAGAGCCAGAGTTTGGCACAGCAGTTAAGAAACACTTGGGGGCCCGGCACTGTGGCATAACGGGTGGGGCCACCACCTACAGTGCCAGCATCCCACATAGGCACCGGTTTGAGTCCTGGCTGCTACACTTCCAATCCAGCTCTCTGCTGTGGCCTGGGAAGGCAGTAGAGGACAGCCCAAGTCCTGACGCTCCTGCACCTGCGTGGGAAACCCAGAGGAAGCTTCTGGCTTCTGGCTTCAGATCGGCCCAGCTCTGGCCATTGCGGCCATTTGGGGAGCGAACCAGCGATGGAAGACCCCTCTCTCTCTCTGCCTCTCCTTCTCTCTGTGTAACTTGACTTTCAAATAAATAAATAAATCTTAAAAAAAGAACCACTTGGGATGCCTGGATGCCACATCAGAGTGCTTGGGTTCAAGTCTTGGCTTTGCTTCCTCTTCCAGCTTCCTGCCAGTGTGCACCCGAGGAGACAGCAGGTGTTGGCTCACAGCTGAGTCTCTACCGCTCACTCGGAAGAGACCCAGGTGGAGGTCCAGGCTCCTGGCTTCAGCCTGGCCCAGCCCTGGCTGCTGCAAGCATCTGGGACATGAACCAGAAGACGAAGACCCCTCCCTCTCTGTCAAATGAAAACTTAAAAGTTGGCCAAGAAAATGCGTATTATGAAAAAAAAAACCATGGATTTCAAAATATTTTGCACTAAAATTAATTAATTAATTTTAATTCTAGTGCCACTTTTCCACAAACTTTCTGAAATCCCCTTGTAGTGTCGCCATCACCAATGCCTAAGGTGGGGTGGGTCAGACTGTAACCCCCACACCACTAGAAGCTGCATTAACTGGCACTGGTCACTAAATAGCCTTTATACGCCTTGCGCTGCTTCACCAGGAAGGGCTCCCACTCACAGAGCCACCGGCAGAGGGGCTTGTATGCTAATCCCCCGGGACCATCATCATGTGTGGCACATCCCTGCAAAGTTCAAGAGCAGGAAGACCGGTCTCGGAAGTTTCACCACTGAGGTGGCAAAAACTCTGTTGCCGACCAGCTGGCCTGTTCGGGGGTGAGCCTGCGTGCCAGTGGGTCCATTCTTTCAGTCTTCTTCCATATTTCCCCTTAAAAAAACATAAGGTTACTCAAGGTTCTCTCTTGGTGCTTACTCACCCCTTAGGCTATACTACAGAAGGGTCTCTTTAAAAACGGAATTGTAACTTGCCTTTTCAGTATAGAAACTACCTGGCAGCAATGCAGGCTTTTTTTTTTCTTGGTTCATATCACACAGGCTATTTTTAAATCTCTGAAGTGATACCAGGTCCTCCTGGCACCGCCAGAGGAAGGCTGGGAGGCGGTACTACCCAATCCGACCATACTGATTTTATTTATTCCACATGGCCTAAAAACATGTTTGAACATAATGTGCCATAATTTTTCTGGTGATTTCTATGAATCACTTTTTAATTATGAATAATGTGTTCAGGAGACACTCCTGAGAAATTTTACCCAAGGTTGCCTTGACAACCATCACATAAAATATCCAAAGTAAAGCAGCTTCCATGACCGGCACAAAAAAATCAACTTGAAAGCTTGGATTCCTAAAAGACCATCAGTCAGCTTCCCCCACGATCCACACACGCAAAGCATCGCTGAGAAATCCAGATCCACAGACAAAAGGAAAAGATATTTACTGTCAAATCATTGTTCAAAGGGGTTTTGTACAAATATAAATTTTCCAGCTCCCCATGGAGCCCGTGCCCTGTCCTTGGAGCTAGGACATTCTCGGTGATTGCCTCTCTAACCCTCAGCGGAAGATTTGCAACTTTTAAGCGATCCGCTGCGGGTTCAACCGGAAGCAAGCCTTCTTCTTCCATGGCCCATTTCAGGCTGCTCCGAAATTTACATGTTTGTGCAAGGTGATGAGTGTGGACTTCCGTTTCAGGGATTAGCTTTCAGAAAAACTTGCCTGCTGCATCTCAGGCCATGAGGTCCGGTCCACCTCGCGCTCTCCGCAGGAACCGGTGAGCGGGGTTAGCTGTGGGATTCCCCCAGGGTTGGGGCGTCTCTCTTCTCATCTTTACCTACTTGGAGCTGTCAGCTTTTCCCAAACTGATGGCATAGGCATGAGGCTAAATGGAAACCTCGCGCGTGAGTTTGGCAGAACTCACAACTTTGCTTAATTGTTTAACAGGTATTGGAGCCTTTGCTTTCGGTCCCGCGTGGAGGGCGCCGAAGCAAGTGTAAAAACGGTGCCGGGTGCGCCAGGAGGAGCCAGGTCCACCTGTCCACTGTGCGAGTACCCGCTCAAAAGTTAGATTTCTCTATAAACTCTCCCAGCTGTGACCCACCTTCCCCCCCTGTTCCTTGGCGCCCATCCCAGCTCAGGGCCTGGCAAATGGGAGGAACTCGCCAAAATTAAACGCAAGGTTGACACCAGGTCTCCGGCATCATACTACAGCGGTTTCACTAGTCTGGGTCCTGTGGCAGCGGAGCCGCGCTCACGGGAGTTTCCGATCGCCTCTCCCACGAGGAGGAAGGCGGCGGGAAGGGTCTGCGCGCCCGACCCAGCAAGGCGCCCGAGGGCTCGCTGCACCCCAGGGCAAAAGCGGCCGCGAGAGGAGCTCAGAGAGGAATCCGGGGAAGTTAATAAACCTGTGCACACCCGCAGGCTGGCGGGAGCGTGCGTGCAATGCCCAAGCTTATTTTGTTTCCGCCCCCTAAAAAGCGGAGAGGGTGGTGGAGTTGGGGCCATTTTCGTAAAACGCACAGTGGAAATTTGAAGTCATTCAGCTACCCGATGCCCTTCGTGGGGGAAACGCTCCTGAATTGAGGAAAAGAAAAAAAAAAAAAAAGTCCGTGGTTTTGCACGAAAACGCGCTCGTCTGTACCGGCACTCAGAAGGGTCTAGGGGCCACCGAGGGGGCGTGAGACCTTCCTCTTCCTCCTCCTCTTCTCCATCTCGCACGCGCCCGTCTCCCCCACGAAGGCTGCGCCTCCCGGAGCCGCGCTCCGTCCGGGACAGCTCGGGAAGCGCGACTTCTGCTTCCCACCCCACCAGACACCCCGACCCACCCGCACCGGTGCCCGGCGCCTCTCGTCCGTGCCACACGGGTCCCAGCTCCGTCCAGTCCCCACTCCCCGCGAGGAAAGAATCTGAGAGGCAGGAGCCGAGCGAGGGCAGAGCGACCCGAGCAGAAGGGCGAGTGGGAGACGCGCAGGGGCCGCGCGCATCGGGGCTCAGGTCCACGCACCAGAGCGTCACGGCCGCGGGCGCCCACCACCCCATGTGACCGCGGCCCTGCGCGCGAAGGCCCCTGTGCCTCCTGCGCGCCCTGAACGACCTCTGGCCACCACCACGCGCCCCCAACTACGGGCAGCGTGCGCATTGCGCCCCCTTCCGCCCACGTTCCCGGGCAGCGTTTCTAACCACGCGGGAGGCTGGAGGAGCGAGCGAGCGCCAAAAGCCGCGCCGCGACGCCATCTCCTAAATAATTTCCTTCAGTGCCAGGGGGACGTGCCGAGACCCCTCTCTAAGTCCAGGAGACCTCTGGCGTCTGGGGAGCCTGACTCTCCATCCACTCCAGCCGCGCGGCTCTCGTGCCCACGTGTGGCCCGCAACCCCCGAAGTCCGAGTGCGTCCACGGCGCGGAGGGCTGCGAGGGGGCCTCGCCGCAGCGTGGAACAGGAGCAGGTGCAGTCCCCGCCGCGGCTCAGACGCGAAGTCCGGTTTGCGCGCGGCCCGCAGGGCGAAACCTGGGACGGAGGAGCGCCGGGCTGTGTGGGCCTCGCCTCTTGCTCCTCTGGGAGTAAGTGTGTTCCCATACACACACCTCTCACGCCGGTCTCTGAAATAAAATCACAAAAATAAACACCCGCTGGAAGCGGGAAGGTGCGCGCGCCCAGCCAGGCCCGCCCGCCGGCCTTTCCGTAACTTTGTGCGCGCGTTTTCCCCCAGACCCGGAGGTCCCCACTGCTGTGGGCGCCCGGCAAGAGGACCCTGCGCCAAATGAACCCTCCGTTTTGGCCAGCCCTATATTAAGGATTGGCTATTGCTGTTATTAAAAGCTAGGGAAAAAAAATGAAGCCCATCACGCTGGGACTTTCTTTGATGTGCAGAAATATTTATCGCGGCGGGTAGGTGTTGTTTTTGTTTCTTAAAGGCGATTTTGGGGTTGAGTTTGCGAAGGGCCGTTTCCGCGGCGACACGGGTGAACGAATCGGTTTTCAGATTTCTAGGCGCTCACTGATGTAACTACCGAGAAAGTTCGGGGCTCACGGAGCTTTCCCAAGTGATCACAGCCTCCCAGGACGCTGTGGGACAAGCAGGGTGGAGGAAGGTGGGCGCCTCGGGGCTTCTGCTCTCCTTTGGCTGGGAAGCCCCGTCTGGCCGCAAGCATGGCTCCTGGACGCTGGGCGCCGCTTTCGCTCGGCAGAGACCCCGGACTGCCAACCTCCGAAGGTCACTGGGTGTCTGTGTGCGTCCATGAACCTTGTCGGAGCCCGCCCCGGGGGAAGGCAGGGCTGGGCCCGGGAGACAGACGCGAAACGCAGAGGGAGGTGTCGCCTCTGCTCCTCCCCGGGTAGAATGAACTCTGACACGTGTCCGTTTATCCCCACAAGCCCAGTGGGCCTGCTCCTGGGGCGGCCCCTCTCAAGGACCTGGCTGCTACCTGTAAGGACCGGAGACTGCTTGTGTCCCACTAAATGCCCTGCGTTGAGACAGGGGAGGCACTGTCCCAGAAGACACCCTGGTGCCCCCAGTCTCCAAACCCCGAGTCCTCCTGGACAGAGATTGGGGGAACGTGGTCACCACCCATTCCTGGATCCCAGAAAGAAGCGTGGGCTTCAAGCCCCCAGCCCCACGGAGACCTGCAGCCCGGCACGCGGGAGGCTCAGGAGAGAGACCTGGTCCCTGAACCCAGTCCAGGGGCCTATGGGCCCAGCGCAGGAAGCCGGACCTGCCCGGGTTCCTGTCATCTCAACCAGACCAGCCTTAAAGCCCACACTTTCCCAAAGGAGGGGCTTCTAGTTAAAAGAACACTTAAAAAAAAAAAAAAAAGGAGAAATACTCCCCCCCCACCCCCCACTACTTGGGATGGAGCAGGCAGAGCGAGTTTGTCTAGGGCTCTCAGGGATACACTATTAGGAAGTCGCTCTGGATACCTGCAATTATTTTTAAACACTGTGGGGTAAACGTGGTGCTCCCTGCTTTCTGGGAGCAGCCAGGACCCTGGGGATTGTTGTTGAGGTCTCTACGAGGTTTACGCGGGAAAGGAGGGCCGCTCTTTAGGACAAGAACGTCTCCCAGGCTGGAACTAGCCACATGTGGCACCGGACACGCGCAGTGTTTCGCGGCGTGAGCACCGCCAGTGGCAGACCCCGGCTTTTTGGGGTCTGACCCTCCGCAGGGTTGCCTGTCGCCTCGGCTTGGGGGTTGGGAGTGGGCGGCCAGGGCGGGGGAGCTCTGCCTGTCCCCCAACCCCTTAGTGACAAGGTTTGTGATCCGCCACGTCAGGGGCCCGTCCCGGGGGCCGGTCCCTGGTGGACCCTCTGCGCTTGTCTGCGTTGACCTCCCCTGAAAGTCCGCCCCAGGTAGGCGCGCGGGGCGCGGCAGCTGAAACGGAAACTCGGGCAGATGCGGGACGATCAGGGCCCGCCCCCCTTTCCTCCCAGGGCCTGAATTCCTTCCAGATTAGTTGTGTAATGGAAAATTTCCAAGACGTAGGGGTACGCGGGGCAGACCGCTGGGGCGGCGCGGGGCTAGCAGGCCGCGCGCCCACGCTCCTGAACTCGAGCGGCCGGGCCCCCTCGCCCGCTCGCCCTCCTGTCGGACTCTGTGGGCTCCTTCCGGGCCAGCGTGTGAACCGCCCTTGCGGGGTGATGTCTTGGGACCCGGGGTGGGCTGCTGCAGCCCTACGAGCTGGCCGTGCCCCGAGCGAGAGACACGTAGCCGGTGTCCCAGTCCGCAGTCGCCGCCAAAGTTCTGAGCACTCAGTCGGGGCTTTTTGGTTTGTAAGATCTTCGGACTTGGCTCTGACTGTCCCTCATAGGGCCCGTGGGTGACCTGCGCCGAGGCCGAAGATCTCCCTCCCTTAGGCACAGCCCTGGGACAGGGGTAGCTTCTGCCTTCGCTGTCGCGCGCTAACGCCACATTCTTTGCCACCTGGGAAAACGCGGAATCCGCGCCCAGGGCTTTGAGTACTTTCGGGAATGCCTTCGGAGACCCGGGTCCCGCAGCCGGGTGTGCAGACAGAGGAGGAATGTTTGGGGGCAGGGGCTTCTGCTCGGGCAGGCTTGGGGCCTGGACGCGGCCCACGCCACTCACCTTCGAATTTTTAAATTCTGTTTTCCGACCTCCCAGAGCACGCGGTTCGAACTTGCCTCGCAGCTGCGCGGGCCGCGGCTGCGCCTGGGAAAACCGGGCCGCCAGAGCTCCCGTGCGTTTTCCCGTTAAATCCGGGGAATTTGGTTTTGGGAGAAAGTTTCCGTGCTTGTTACTTGTGGGGTCTCTCCCAGTGCCACTTAGCCATGCTTCTGCGATCTGCGTAATCCCTTTTCAAGCTCGGGAGGCTTGATTGAGGGTCGGAAATCGTGGGGGGGGGGGGGGGGTGGAGAGAAGCGTTGAATCCTCCCGAAGCCAGGAAGATGGCAGTGCGTGCAGAGTTGGGGTGGGGGTGGGGGAGCTGCGAAAGCCGCAGCGGGGCCTGGGCCGCAGCCCGGTGCCCTCTCTGCGTCAAAGCCAGATCCGGCAGCACGGGCGCTGCCCAGCGCAAGATTCATGGGTTTGGGCACCGCGTACCCGCGCGGCTCGCACCAGTAACAGGAGAGCGCACCATGCTCCCAGTCCTCCACCTCCACCACCACCACCCCCGCGAAAAATGCGGGTTCCTCTTGCTCCCTGCTCCAGCGGCTCTGCGGTGGGTTTGCCAGGGTGAGAGGGGCCGGCGGGGGTGAGCCCGGGTTTGCTCACGTTGCCAACCACCTGGATGGGGCGTCTACGCCGCCTCTAATGCCTTCAAAGTCCTGGCCTTAATGGGGTCCCTACGGGAAGTGAGGAGCGCCTGCTGCAGGCACGGTGGTCGGGACCGGGTCTTCCTGGTGCCTGCCCCTGAGAGCGCCGAGCAGCCGGCTCCTCCTGGGCAGAGGAAGAACGCAGTGCGCCCGGAGCGAAAATCCCCCCGGCCAGCTCTTCTGATCGGGCGACCTCCATCCGCGTGGCTACCTCTAGCGTAGGCGCTCCAAGGCCCTAGATCCCAACAGTGCGCGGCACACCGCCGGGAGACCACCCAGGACCCCGAAGTCCCAGAGTGACTGTGGCCTCTGCGCCTGTCCATAACCCGGGGCGCCTAGGGAGCTGGTGTCCACACTGCGTCGGGGCTTTCAGGCTCCTGGAAAGGATAGGGTTGTTGCCCATCGCCGTAGGTGGCGTGGGCGGAGGACCCCGTGCCCAAACCTATCCCGGGGTGCAGACGCTTAAGGTTGGGACAAGGCGGGACAGCAAGACTCCTCAAGTCTCGGGTGTCCCAGAGAGAGCGCGGCGGGATGCCGGGTGGCCTCGCCTCCAAAGGCGCCTCCCAGCTCCCCTGTCTTCTGTCTTGTCGCTTGGGCCCCACCGACGCCTGCCAGGTGAGCCCACCTCTGCAACCCTCGCCCCCAAGTGACCGCCCCACTGCGATCCCCCGAAATCCCCGCTGCAACGGATCGTGCGGCTGCGCCACTCTCGGGCAGCTCCGGCCGGCGCCCAGGGAGAGGCCTCGCCGCCAGGCTCGGCTCCCCGAACCCCTCCCTCCTTCCGCCCGGCCCGGGCGTCCTGGCGGCCTCCTGCGAGGGCGCCGATCTCTTTTTGCTCTGTTTGCAGGAGACAAGGGGCAGAAGGGTCACTTCGGAGCCTCCCGCGATTTCCTTTTGTGTATGTGTATGGGGCGGGGGCCCTTCCCTCTGGCCGCACCGCTTTGGCTCTCGGACCTGCGACTTGGGGAGGGCGAGAGCACAGGAGCCGCTCGCGCTCCGAGGACTCGGCGCTCCCCGGCAGGGCACTTGGCCGGCGGGTCTCGCCGCCTCCTCCCGGCTGCGCCCGCCGGCGACCTGCCCGAGAGCCACAGAGGAGGCCTGGACACCCCTCCCTCCTCCCTACTTCGCTCCTCCCCGCGCCCAGCCGAGCGCCCAGGTCCCGCGACCCTATCTCGGGGGTCGGGTCCCCACGGGGCGCCGGGTGCACTCACCGCGACTTGCCCGAGCCCGGGAGCGCGCGGGTCTCCACCAGGAGAGTCCCTGGGGGCAGCGGCGCGGAGGCGCGCCAGTGGCTCCAGGGCCGCGGCAGGGTCGGAGGCGAGATTCACCGCCCCCGCCCCCGCCACGGCCCCTCCCCCTGCCGGTCCCCCTCCCCCCCTGGGCTGGGGCGGCCCCGCGCTCCGCCCGAAGGCGGGTCCGCCATAAACAAACGCAGTTCGGTCGCACGTGGACGGCGGAGCGGCTGCGCCTCGCCACCTTCGCGGGCTCCAGGCACCGCGTCTCCAGGCACCGAGAGCGGCCAGGGAGGGCAGGAGAGCGCGCCGGGGCCGGGCCCCAGCCGCCTGCGCCCCATTCCCCTCCGCTCGCCTCCCGCTCCATGGCTCCGCGGCCGCCGCCGCCCCTGCGGCCCTCCGCAGCGGAGGGGCCTCGCGGCCGCGGGTGCACACCCTCGGCTAAGGACTAAAGGGCGCCGCCGCCTTCTCGCCGGCCCCCTCGCCCTCGGGAAAGCCGAGACACGGGCCACAGGCGGAGGGAGGAAGAGAGAGCAGAAGCGAGCGGGAAGCGGTGCTCCGGTCGCCGCGGGACAGCCCAGCCCCGAGGAGGCTGCGCCCCGGGCCGCGGCGGGCGGAGCGCGGGGCGGCGCCGCGGGTTTGCGCCGAACCCAGGGCTGGCGGCTGCGGCGAGGCGCCTCGGTGCCCCGGGGCGGTCCCGCGCACCTGCCCGCGGCCGGCGCTCCGGACCCACCTGGCTCCGGAACCCCTTTGCCGGTCCCCGCCGGGGCAGCCCGAGCGGGGCTCCGCGGGCCTGCAGCGCCGCCGGGTCTAATATGCCCAGAGCCGAGGCGCGATGAAGGAGAAGTCCAAGAATGCGGCCAAGACCAGGAGGGAGAAGGAAAATGGCGAGTTCTACGAGCTGGCCAAGCTGCTCCCGCTGCCGTCGGCCATCACCTCGCAGCTGGACAAAGCGTCCATCATCCGACTCACCACGAGCTATCTGAAGATGCGCGCCGTCTTCCCCGAAGGTGAGGCCGCAGGTGGGCCGCCGGGGACGCTGGGGAGCTGGCGGCCTCGGCGCAGGCGGGGAGCAGCAGCCAGCTGCCTGGGGAGGCCCCGGCGGGGGCTTCAGCTCCAACCCTGACTCAAGGAGAGGGGCAAGGCTGGGACGGCCCAGGCCACCAAACCATCTTTTGTCCCAGGGTCGCGCATTAGCGAACCAAGAGTTGTCCCAGGAACAGAAGGTCCCCAGGCCTGCACCGGCTCCACCATTACAGTCAGTCTTCTTTCTTTTTATTTTTCTCTCTTTCTCTCTCTCTTTCTTTTTTCTCTTTCTTTTCTCTCTCTCCATTCTTTCCTTTTTGCTTTCTTTTTTTTGTTTCTCTCCCTTCTTTCTTTTCTCTTCCAGTTCACCCTTGCTTTCCTTTCTTTTCTCTTTCTCCCTCGCCTCCCCTTCCCTACTCTTTTTAAAATGTCCCCTTTTAATCTACTCTCCTCATTTCTCCTCTTTGCCTGGAGGGGTGCAGGGCTCTTGCGTTCCATGCGCCGGCTCCCGGGCAGGCCGCGCTGAGCACTTGTAGGGGCTCCTTTTCCTGTCCACTTCCCTTGGATCCAGGACGTGGGAGATCAGGATAGGAGAGTGGGCGGGCTGGCAAGCGCAGACCCAGCCTGAAAGAACCGGAGACGCCCCCAGAAAGACGCGATGCGATCGGCTGGAAACTCTTAGGACCGAAGGAAAGGAGGAGGTGGGTGGGCTTCGCCGCCGCACACGCCAGCCTGGCACCGCCAAGCAGCAGGCCCCCGGGGTCGCTGCGGCCAGCCTGAGGGATTCCGATGCTGCAGGCTGGCGCACTCCTCCGGGGCCTGGCGGGCGCTCCGGGACGTCCTGGCCTAGCGGCCGAGAGCTGCGCCGCGGCTGGGAGAGCTTCAGCTCGGTGGTCGTGGCTACCTCGGCGACAGGTGTCCATGGGCCACAGGGCTCCTCCGTGGACGCTGGTCTGTGCCAGGCGCTCGACCTGAACTCCATAAGCCCCGCTGTTTGCAATCGCCACCACGAAACCTGTTATTTGTAGCCGGCCCTGGCTGGGAGCTGCGCTTCTCGCCGCGCTGGAGCGCCGAGGGCCAGGGAGCCGAGAGCCGAGAGCCGTGGCGTCTCTCCGAGGCGGTGCGTCCTTTTCCTCGCTTGCCGGAGCCGGAGTAGTTCTCCACTTTGCTACTTGGGTTGGCAGAGACGGCTCGGGCTGCAATCCCTTCTGCTGCTTGAGAAGTAACAACGATTCTCAGGCTAAAGTTTCCATGGAAATTCACAGAGAATTCGGTTGTACCAGAACCAGGGAGCAATGGTGTTAACTAGTTTGCTCACCGCCTGGCACGAAGCAGCTGTGGAATTAGGACAGGGTTTTGAGCCCCTGGCCTCCACCCGGTTCCGAAGTCAAAAGGGAGGAAGAAATGATCAGAAGATTTAGTGATCCTTTGCCGATGAATTAAAAAAATAATAAAACGCAAGTTAGTTGAAAGGGGAGGCCTGGGCAAAGACGGCAAATTGTGAGCCATTCGTTGTTTGGGGGTTTCCGGGAGAGTCCACTATGCGATGTACTAACGTTTATCCCAGACCCGTACCTCTTAGTTCTGGTTGTTGGGGCAGCACGGCTGTGCTGTGGGCCCACTGCAGGCATGGCGGTGCCGGTCCAGACCTGGATCCCTGTGTTCCAGAGCCGGCCAATTGCGGAACCATCTGTGTCGCGCAGTGACCTGGAGGGGTCTGGAAGGAGTTGTTTGGGGAATGGCCGTGAACCTGTGGGTTCTCCCGAGTGGACGGGAAGAAGGGAGCAGCCCCCGACCTGTAGCTCCAGGCTGCAGCCCTAGTCCCCTCCCTTCAGTTTGGGGCCGAGGAGCTGTGCAGCTGGGAGCTTGGGACGTAGAGAAGGACCACTGCACGAGGAACCTGGCGGGTGGAAACGGTGCTTTCATGGTTCTCGGGAATCCTGTACGGGAGGATGTGGCTGGGGGCTCCGGATGGGACCTGGCTGGGGCTAGGGTTGGGGAGGCAGGTTTGAGGGCCACGGTGGTCCTGCTCTTTGGTGGCAGCCCCCAGATGGTCCCCAGATAGCAGCAAAGGGATAGGAGCTGAACAGAACTGATCCGCCAAATGCCATCTTTAAGAAGAATCTGAAAACCAATTTGGGACTTTGGGAGCCAGAAAATGACCAGCACGGTCCTGAGGAACAACAAAAATCAGCAGACTAATTCTTTTGCCCAGGAAATTGAGGACAGACTGGGCACAGCCCCTTCCCAAGGTCCCCCAGCGAGGGCAAAGGCAAGCCAGTCCTACCTGGGAGGAGAGACAGAGAGACTGCACCAGGGCAGAGGGAGGCCCCAGAGCCGCGGTGGGCACCGGGCACGCAGGCCAGTCCTCTGCCTGCCGGGTGTTTTCAAATACTGCAACCCGTCAAAGCTTCTACCATCACTCTGCTCGGTGGGCCTCAGTCTCCTAGTTTGTGAAATGGGTCCGTTAGCAGCTCTGGGGCCTGCGCGGGGTCGCTGTGATCAAGCAGCAGGATGCAGAGAACCCGCAGTGCAGGTGCGAGTCTTCGGTCACTCCTTGCCCAGCGTCTCCGGGAGAAGCTCACAAGGCAGGGCTGGACTGGGCGTAAGGGCCACTGCTTTCTGGGACGCCGCCCTTGCTCCCCTTCTGCAGAGAACTAAGAAGTGGGAAGTGGACGGGCTGAGAGAGAGGGAGGACGAGACCCCTTTGAAATGCGGACCCGAAATTTAAAACTTGGTCTCTTAGCAGGAGCAGGGAGAGAGGCTAGTTAACAGGGCTGGGCTGTAGCCGTAGGGCTCTCCCTGGTGGGGGGGGGGGGGGCTGCGGAAGCCCCTGAGTGGGCAAACGGGGCAGGACCAAGGCCAAACAAGGCACCGACTTCAGGGTGCCAGGGTTTGGCGCAGAGTGTGGACACACAGGGTGTGTGGTGTCTCCTCCTAGACTCTGTTCACGGCAGGCTGGTTGAGGCATGGCTGCCGGAGGCCCCAGCTGAGTCTCACTGCCTCTCGCTTTCCTAGACCAGAAAGGCCCAGGATGGGTGTGGGTGGAAGAGGGGAAGTTACAGCTACAAAATGCTGCATGCACACCCAGAGTGGTGGGATTCGAGGCCCTGACTCCTGTGGGTTTACATTGAATGACAGGCAGGCACCCCCACCCGTGCACACACCTGGGCCTTGCCCGGCCAAGCCGGACTGACTTAGAAATAGAATCAAAGCAATTTGATCTGGAGGGTTTGGGAAGGAAAAAACTAGCCCTGTACCGAAATGCTGATTTTTTTTAAACAAAAAAACCTCAATGTATAGAATAACGCGAACACGTCCAGCCTGCTCCCCACCTCTACTTTGAAGCCTGTGGGTCTGGGGCCCGGATCCAGAAAGCAAAACCTGACTGTCGCGGGACGGGACGCTCCTGCTGTGGCCTTGAAGGCGAGGAGCTGGAGCGCACGGGCTGCGATTCAGCTCCGCGCCACCGGAGTCCAGGCCCCAGAACTCCGCGGGCCCAGAGAGGTAGCTGTGACCCGGCGGCGCCGGGCAGCTGCAAGTGCTTTGCGCCTAGTGCCCGCTGCTGCGGGGCTGCTGCGCCTGGCGCTCCCGAGGGCTGGCGATCGCGGAGATCCCATCGGTTGTCCAAGAGCGGGCAGTCAGGGCTGAAGCCTCTTGTTCCCAGCCGATTTGGGGCGTCGCCCCTCTCCCCGGTTCTCCCGTTCTCCCGCGGCGCTCAGAGGAGAACAGGGTTCTGAGGCTGGAAAGTGCACGAAGTGTGCCGCAGGAACCCCTATATAACGACTGTGTCCCGGATCCCACGGCCAGAGAGGGTCCTTATGGGAGCGCGAGCCACAGGCGCTTCTTGCTCCCCCGAACACAGCCCCCAGGGCCCCCAGCCCCGCAGGTGGTCGCGCTCTGGATTGAGTGTGAGCGCCATCCGGGTGATGGGCGCGGGCGTTCCCAAGCGACCTTGGGGACTGTGCGCCTTCCTCGTCTGACTTGGGAGTGATTCACACGCTGAGGTAGCCGAGGACCCCAAAAACATGCCCTCCGCTCCCCGACGCGCGGTTAGAGGGAGGAAGAGGGTCTGGGATAATGGGGCCAGGGAAGGCTGGAGGGAGGGGGCGGTGGGAGAGCGGAGGAAGTCCCCAAACGCCTGCCTTCTAGACGCTGGAAAGGTTAGCGTCAGGGCCCGGCTGGAGCTCAGACCGGCCCACTGGCAGGATGGGCACCTCAAGCCAGGGAGGTGAGACCCCTGCAGACCCCGCCGGCTCCCTGCCAGGGCTACTGGGTGTTCCCTCTCCCAGAGCCCTGTCTTCCATGTTCACAGGTGCCTGTGGAGGTTCTTGGTCACCGTTTTTAGATACCAGAGGTTGCCCCAGGAAATGAGAGACCGGCCAGTAACCTGGTATTCTTCCAAAATCCAGGCCGGGACTCCTGGCTGCACCCAGGGTCACAGCGGCCGCTTGGCTGGAAGAGGGGAGGCTGGCTCCTTCCAGTGTGCCCCTTGGTCCCAGAGGGTCCCAGCCGGCCCCCCAGCGAGGAGTGGTTTTCTTTCCCAGATGGCTCATTTGTGTGGCCTCGGGCTGTTTTTAATCTGTGACCTGTGTCTGGAGGCACCCCCTGGCCTGGCTGGGACCCCTATACAACACTTGTTCAGGAGCAGTTTGTTAACTGACTAACCAAGTGCGCACAGAGGAGGGACCCTATTTAGGCAGTGGTCCCTTGGGGTTCGGAAGGACACCGAGCAGAGTGCTTGCACCCACAAACTCCGGGAGGTCGAGAGGGAAAGGGGGCGCCTCCACTGCCGAGGGGGGGACGGGCACTGTAGGCTGACTGAGCCTCCGCTCATGCCCCCTAACTTCAGGGTCCCCCAGAAACTTGCCGTGTGTGTGTGTGTGTGTGTGTGTGTGTGTGTGGTGGGGAAGTCCAGACCCACAGTCCAGACCCACTGGCTGCCAGGGGCTCCCAGGATCTCCTGGCCCCAGACCACCAACACTGCTAAACTCAGACTTTTTCTGTACCCTCCCCATTTTTTTTTCAAATAAATAAAGTCCTTTGTTAGGTGCAGATAAAGGCCACGTGCTCAGCGGCTGGCTCCTCTGCTAGGTATCTCGCTTTACAGTATCAAAACGATTTTCCCCCTTGCAAACCTTACCTTATTTAGTCTCTCTGCATTCAGCCCAAAGTAGATTTTTATGGGCTTAGTAAAAGGACCTCGCCCACAGCGGTTTCTAATGGAAGAGCTGGCAGCGCCACCGGGCCTGGGTGAGGTGTGTGTGTTGGGGGGGGGGGGAGTGCTCGGGAAACAGTCCTGTCCCGGTCGGAAAGGGGCGAGCACGCCAGAGCTCCGCCGGCACAGCGGGGGCATCGGGAAGCTGCAAGGAAAAAGTTAAAATGATGGATGTGAACAGGCTTTCTTGAAGCATGGGGGTATTTGAACGACAGGGAAAATTGTCCCGTGAGCTCAAAGCACTTTTGTCGGTAGAGCCGGGTTCTTCGGCAAGGCTTTTGGGAGCGCTGGGCACGGCAGCGGGGTCTGGGGATTATTCCCAAAGGTCCAGGGGCCCCCCAAATCCTTCCACCACCGGGGGGAGGACAGGTTCGCTGGGAAGGGACCAGAGGCAGGGCAGCGAAGGGTGCACGTGTCCACTTCCAGAAATCAGTTCCTGAATCCTTATTAAATTGTTTCCTCACTCAAACCCCAGGACTTCTGACTTTCGGTATTTTCTGTTGCTGGTTAAATGGAGTAAACGCCTCCGCCACCAGGCTGCCCGCCCGGGTGTAGCGGAGGAAGGACCTGTGCGGTGTGGTCACGGGTAACCTGTTCAGGGGGTGTGAAGACCCCTCCTCCCGTGGTGGAGCCACCAGCTGCGTGGGGACCCGGGAAACCAGGACGCGCGGAAATTGGCCAATTCCCCATGGGGAGACCCGGACAAGCCTCTGATTCCCAGCGCCCAGGAAACTGAAGAACACGCGCCTGCAGCGGCGGGGCTCAGCCGCGCACCGCGGGGTGCGCGTTTCACCTCTGATGGAGCTTTGCAGAAGCCGCGGTGCTCCGGGCGCCCGCGGGGGCAATGGGAGACCCAGCGTGCCGGAGCGGAGACTCCCAGAGACCCCCTCATGGCTGTCCGCTTGCAGGGCGCTGCGCCTCTGCGCTCTGCGCTCCTTCCCCGCATTCACCAGCTAGACCGCGGCTGGCCACGTTCTGCTCCCTGCCGGTGCCAGCCGCTCAGTGGCTCCCGACCCGTGGCCCTGCGCTGGCGGGTGGTCCAGAGGAACCCGCTGGCGGGCCCACAGCCCACCCCGAAACCGGCGATGCGCGCTCCGTGGGCGGCTGGGGACCTGCGGACATGCTCTCTGCGGGCGAGGGTGGGACTTAGCGGCGGTCAGCGGCCTATGCTGCCTAGTGTCGGGGCCTGGGCGCTAACGGCAGGAGCTGCGAATCGGGTGCTCAGTGGAGCGACCGGGCACGGCTCCCAGCCCGCACTGAGCGCCTGTCCCGCAGGGCCCGAGCTTCCTCCAGGTCACAGGAGCTGGGCCCAGGGCGCAGGCAGAAGGGGACCCCAGGAGCGCTTTTGTAGGCACTGGTGCCCTTGGGGAGGGGTTGGGGGGTCCAGTCAGGGAGTGAGGGCCTGGGGGACCCCCATTATGTGACAGCAGACACCCCCAGTTCCCGTGGAGCGTGCACGTGGCTCTCTGGCGGCTGGCAGATTGGGGGTTTGCCGCCGGGAAGCCCCCCAGGGTGGGTGCGGGGAGAGGCCCAGGGAGAATGCACGAGGACAGGTGGTCGAAGCAGCAGGCGGAGTGGGGACCCAGGACGCCAAGTTGCCCCGGGCGCTGGGGAAGGGTGGGGAGGCGGGAGGGGTGGGATCCTTGGGGAAATATTTACGGGTCTAATCGATATCCCCGTTTGGCTCCGAGGATGGCCGATTTCAAAGCAGATTAGATTACTTTGTGGCATTTCAAATAAAATGGCAATTTCAGAGCCGTGAACACGTGGGCGACCCGTGGGAGCTGGGGGCCAGGCGGGCTCCCTGTGCTCAGGGGGCCTGGGCTGGAGGCGTCGGCGGGCTTTGCTCCTCCGGCTTTTTTGCTCCTAACTGAGGGCTTTGGGCGAGGCGAGCGCATAGGCGGTGGCTCGGGGCGGAGGCGCGGGGTGCGGGGGTTCCCCGCGCTCCACCCGGCGCCCTGGCCTCGGGCTGGACGCTGCGGTTCACTGGTTTGTTTTATTCCTCGTGCAGGTCTAGGTGACGCCTGGGGACAGCCCAGCCGCGCCGGACCCCTGGACAGCGTCGCCAAGGAGCTGGGATCGCACTTGCTGCAGGTAGTGCCCCGAGTCGGGGAAGAAGCGTGGAGGGCGGGGGGAGGGGCTTCCTTCCAGCGCTGCCACCCGGCCTCGAGGTGTCTCCTCCCCGAGCGGCGCCAGGCAGACTGATAGGCCAGAGCCCAGGCTGCAGAGGTCGCCGGAGGTCGAGGACGGCGCCCCGGGAGGGATCATGGGGTGTAGCCAGGGTCCAGTCCTGGGGACTTAACCCAGCGGAGACACAGGCCGAACGGCTCCCCTGGGCGTGGCGAAGTCCTTTCCAACCTCACTTCCAGGGCAGCGTGGGCCGTGCGCTTGCCCTGCGCCAGGCTCTGGTGCAGGCAAGGAGAGATCCGGCCGCGCTGAGCCCGGTGCATCCGCTGTAAACTCGGGCTGCAGCGGCCCAAAGGCGGCGGCAGTACCAAGATGTTGAAACAGTTGGCCCCACGAGCCAGATTCCCTTCAAAGCCCCACTGTGTCATCTCCCTTCACCATTCACCTAGGGTGGGTTCCAGGTGGGGTTTTAACTCCATTTTTCGCCCCCAGGGAGGGAAGTTGAGGCTCAACGAGGTTAGGGGACGGGTCTCGGGTAACACAGCAAGAGGCGGAGACCAGCTGACCCAAACAGTACAGCCCAAGAGCCCATGTGGAGTGGCCTTTGGGCTCACCTGGCTCGGCTTGGGGTCAGGAACGCAGCACCCCCGTCCAGGGCCCGCAGCCGAGGGGCGCGCGGCGCCGGGGCGAGCGCTTGGGGCTGGGTTCCCCCACCCGCACGCGCCCCGCCACTTCCAGGTTGGCGACTGGCGTGGGCAGGGGCACTGCGGACGCCTGCTCCAGAGGCTCCTCAAGGACTCTATTCATCCCCCCCTCCCCCGCTCCTCCCGTCGTTTGTCTCTGCCATCGAAAAATGCCTACCGAAAACTGTTTTGCATTTCCTGTCTCCAATTTGTGTTTTCTTTAACGGGGTGGGGGGTGGATGGGGAGTTGGCTGCGGGATGCGGTGACTTGGGTCAGCCAGAAGCTGCGCTTGCAGGAAAAGCAGATCTTTGCAAACCTCTTTCGCCCCCGGATGCCCAGGTCGGGGTTTGCTCTTGAACACGCCTGCACTGGGGAGGAGATGACACTGGGGAGTATTTTGGCACGCGGCGTTTTCGCCATCTAGGGCGCGCGGGGCTGCGGCCCGGCGGGGAAGGGCGCGCGGGAGCCGGGCTCGCGCCCTCGCGTGGGCCCTAACTCCGCGCCAGCTCAGCCGCAGCCTTCTGCCTGCCTCCTGCCCTTGCCTGTTCCAAGTGACACTAAACATCAGGGACATCTAAGTGGCGGGCAGAGGCTACAGCCCCCGACTTGGCCGCTGCGCGCTCTTTCTCTGATCCCGGGGCGGCGTGTGCGGGGGTTCCTTGCACTGCGTACCCGCGGCAGCCCGGGAGGTGACCGGAAGCTAGCAAGGCGCGCTCAGCATTCCCCAACGAGAGTCTTAACATTTTGGCTACTGCTGGCAACTTTTAAAATTTAATTATGATCGTCCTCCCCCCCCCCCCACTCCTTTGTCCTGGATACTGGGAGACATGCATTCCATTAAATATATTTCTCTTAAACGATTTTGGAGAAGAAGAAGTAAGCAAAATGGCCCAAAACATTCCTGCCTTGAGAGTTTATGTTTCTGAAAGGGTTAGTTGGGGAATGATTCTCGTGAGCTCGGTGGGAACCCTGGAGAGTAAGGCTTCTTGGGACATCCTGATTCCAGTCCGAACCTAAGGAAAGGCACTGACGGTTCGTTGGCCAAGAATTTTTGCAGTAAACTGTTGGCAACTGGAGAAAGCAAGGCATCTTTCAAGTTTCACTTCTGCTACCTTTGCTAGCCCCGCACCTCGGGAGGGGTGCGTTAGAAAAACCAAAGGTGATCTGGTTTCAATTATATGCTGTAAAAATAGAAATTGTGGCCAGAAATTAATTTGGAATATTTTTATGGGGGTAGCATTGTGGGTTGTACTGGTCTGTCACCAACTTTACTGCTTCTCTTTGGTTCTTGATCTAAAACCTGAATGGGTAAATAAAAGAGTTTCCTTTCTCAAGAATAATTTAGTCTTTTTTTTATCCTTGACATACATAATCATTACCTTTTTATTTGTCCTAATTACCTCTTATAATTTCACTCTGTGTTTTTGAGGGCTAGCCAAAGTAGGCAAAATTAGAATTTCATTTGGATAGCTTTCATTTTTCAGAAGTGGATACTCATTCCCCTTGAATTTTGCTAAGGTTATTTGATCTCTTATAAGTTCTAAATAAATAATTCTGTAGACACAGTCCAGTAAAATAGCCGAGTATTTTGTTTTATTTCCTGGGGAGTGGTAGTGTTCGGAATTTATTATGAAAGTGGTACTTAGGGGTAACTAGAAAATTGTGGCAAATAAACCCTGTGTCCTAGTGGTATAAGCGATTGCCAATTATGACATAAAATGGTCTGTGGAGTGGCAGATTTCCCCCCAAGTACTATAGAACTCCGGATTTGTGCTAAGTGCTGAAATAACTCCAAACAATAAAGCTACTACATTTAAACCGGGCATGATAGGAATTCTCAACTGTTTTGCATGATTTTGTGATGTGGCTGTAAGATTCTTTCTAAGTGCTTTAAAAGCCTTGGAGAGCCTGGCCTGGGAATTAAACCTTGAGTGTCTTTCTTATGGCGCTTCTGCATTGCACCAGCGCGTGCATTCTTAATCACACGGGATGCTTTTCCTCCCAGCGGAACACCCCTGCCAGCCGCACTCTAACGCACAACTCTCCTCTCTTACCCCGACGCCTTCTCTTTTGCAGACTCTCGATGGATTTGTTTTTGTGGTAGCATCTGATGGCAAAATCATGTACATATCCGAGACGGCTTCTGTGCACCTGGGCTTGTCTCAGGTAGGTACTGCCTCCTTTACCCATAACCAAAACAGCAAACCAAGTGTCTGCACGACTCCACAGCCCTCCCACCTCTGTTTGAACATCTGCTTTTGTGTGTGAACGGAATCCCAATCCCGCTTTGCCAAATCTTCCTCTTAGGGTGGGATCTCCCCAATGCTACATTTTGCTCTTTGGCTTCCTTTTTGCCCTGGGAGTGGATCCCTGTATCTTTGATCCATCTTCTGAGGTTGTGTCTAATCCCCTGGACTATCTGGCGCGGAGAAGAGCCCCACTGAGGGAGACTTCGCTGTGCACAGGAGCTGCTGGGTGCATGCGTTGTGCACTGCTGTGCAGAGAGCGGGGTGCTGACGGAGACACGGGTTTTCTGCAGAGTGTGCTTTGGGGAGACTGAAAGGGGAGTGGGAGATTTATGAGTGTTCACATGGAGCTCAGGGTCGTTTCTCCTGAGTTTTTCCAGTTCAGTGGGCGTTTCAGTAAAGCATTTTATATGCCTGTGATAGAAACTCGTAAAATCCGGTTTACTACTGTTTTGCACAGCGAGGTTCGGGTTCCTTTAGTATATCTGAAGATCTAAAGATTACCAATTTTTAGGGAAAAGGGCAACCATCTTTTAAAAGGGAGTTGGCCATCCCTTGGGGAAAGTGAACCTAATTTATCCACATCAAACCAAGGCTTTGGGACAGGAGTCAGCTGCTGCCTGGGCCCAGGGCACGGCCCGGGGGGAGCCTGGCCCACAGGTCCCATTTGCAAATGTGGGCGGAGCTTCTGAAAGTCTCAGGAGTTCCTTCACCTCGTGGGAGTTTTCATCACAACTGGACACAGCGGAGTTGGTGACGGACACAGACCATGGGCCCCAGAGAGCCCCCCAGTCTGTAGCACACCAGCCTTCCAGTGTGCTGAAGCCCAGAGAGAGCTTGCTAGTTGGTGGGGCTCAGAGAGTCTCCTCGAAAAACCGAATTATCAGATTTGGAAGCCTACATTTGACATGTTCCTTGCCTTCTTCTGAAAATACAGTTTTTTTTTTAACTTGTTAACATTTGTTTACAATGTTCCCTTCCAACACTAGGTGCCTCTTTATGCCTGTCCTGGTGGGTCTGTGTGCCGGGGCGTTTCTTATGCAAACCCCTGTACAGCAAATCCCAGGTTCGAGCTATTTGGAGACTTCTCTTCCTTTTCCTCCTGTTGTGAACTGGACCGCACAGACACGGCCCACTGGGCTTTGGGTTTTACACCTCCCTGTCTCATGGTCATGTGGCGTGCCAATGCTGTTGAGAATATGAAATTTACTATTTCCACATTTTTCCATGATTTTTTTTGAATTTCCATCTTGTCCTATTAAAAATGATTCAGGCTTCCTTTAGTTCCACCCAGGCTGGCTTTTATTCTTGAGCTGCTCCATGAAATGATCTTGATTACATTACTGCCTTTTCTAGTTATGATTAATAAACACTTGGATAGGTTTAGTAATGTCAGAAACACAACAAAACATTTCACGCATGTTTACAATGACAGGTCAAAACTGTCACAAAAAGTCACTGACGTCAAATATTTAACTTAGGTCTGAGCTCCCTAGCAGACAAAACAAAAAAGGGAAATGCACTCAGCTGTGAGGTTTTCATGGTCTGATAGGGTAGATACTGACCCTCCGTGAACCACCACTTAAATTATAAAATAACGGGTGTTGGAGCCCTCTTTGAGGATCATGGTGAGAAACTCATCCAAGTACCCGTTTCATGTGGTTTACAAACTACACACGATTCAGGCACCCACACCACTTGACAGCACACAGTTGCTGCTTTGTCCTTGGAGTGGCCTGGCCCATGCTTGAGGGCCGTGCACATCCCAAGGTAACCTCGTTTGTTCGGTCAGACTGCTCGGTCTAGCATCCTATTCCTCTGTCTTTCTGTCTGTTTCTACTGGGGAAATAGGATGGATTGATTAAGCCACAATAATTAAGAATAACCAAAATATTGGAGAGATGACAACTATGCCTGCTGATCGCAACTCCACCGAAGAGAGTCCAAGCACCCTCCCAGGTCAGAGTATTGGATTCTGTGCTGATGGTCAGGCAGCAAGGAACCCTCGTGTCGTGGGTCCCACCGTTCCCAAGGAAGTGTAGCCGAACTCTTGTCTCGGCCTTCCCAGCAGAAATGAAAAACTGAGAACAGAGAAGTCGCGCTGATTTCCTGCGGCCACGTTTGTTCCCTGCGGGGCTGTGCGGGCATCCGTGCCAACATGCGGTGCCAGCGGGGCCCATGGAAGTGTGTGGGAGTGTTCATGGTGTGCTGTTGCAGTAAGAGACAACAAATTCCCCCTCAGCTCTACCTCCTGCTCCTGATTAAATGCCCAGAAGGAAGTCGAGGCAGAATCACAGAGAGAGAGAGAGAGAGTGTGTGTGTGTGTGTGTGTGTGTGTCTTCTTAAATGGTAACAGAAATACTGGGTAGGATGCTCCAGTCGCTGCTGTTTGATGTTGTTTGCACTTTTAGATGATTGTCGTTATTCACACAAAGTTGAGCTAATACAGAGAACATGCAAGTGTTATTAAAGATTGATTTAGGAAGCAAAGTGTTAGGGAAGAAGTCGGAGTCCTCTTTGGGATGGGTTTTCCAAGGACAGTGGTGGTCACCCCGGCTTGTATTTGCAAGGTGCTCTTCTGTATTCTGAGAACTTCCAATCACCCTCCATGACATGACCTCGCCAAGGGCCAGTCTTTCACGCTAAGTCAGGGTGAAACTCCTTGTGGGATACTCACGGGGAACAGACACCCCCAGGGCTGCCAGCAGTGTGTGAAAATGCAACAGAGTGGCAGTTTGTCTCTCATTTCGGTTTTGGCCTGAACTGTCTGAACTCTGTCTCTGAAGTGTCCATGTGTAGGTGCAAAAATGGTTCTTTATGGTTATAAGCCCATCCATAATAAAGCACGCCTTTTATTAACCTTATTAACCCCCTTTTTTAAAAAAAAAAAAAAAAGATTTATTTATTTGAAAGGCAGAGAGGGAGAGAAGAGTTTTCCATCCACTGGTTCACTCCCCAAATGGCCAGAGTGGCCAAGGCTGGCCAGGCTTGAAGCCAGGAGCCAGGCGCTTCATCTCCCACATGGGTGCAGGGGACCAAGCACTTGGGCCATCCTCTGCTGCTTTCCCAGGTGCCTTGGCAGGAGGCTGGATCAGAAGTAGAGCAGCCAGGACTTGAACTTGTGCCCTTATGGAATGCTGGCATCACAGATAGCAGCCTTATTTACCTGCTATGCGATAACGCTGGCCCCTAACTTTTTTTTTTTAAGTGTTGGAATAAGACACCTACTTCTTTTGACTTTGTTATGTTTATGTGTGCTTTTAAACTAGTAAACAAGTGATCATTGCTGTCCAACTTTTGTACTTCAAAATGAAAGCGACAACCACAAAATTCAAATTGACTCCTTAGTCCAGGGTCCAAGTATTAGGAAATAGAGGTTTCTGATCCCTACGCTCCGCTTGGTGTAGGCACACACACATGTGCACACGCACATGGGCCCACACGTGTCATACCTACAGAACAGCTCAGGCTATTTGGCAAGGGAAGAGCTATAACCATGCCTGTTTAGTACATGATTTAGCTCCGTGTTTTTTGGTCAACACAATTATTTTGCTTATAGTTGAGGCAGGGAGGGAGAAAGCCCGGGATGGCTGCTCTATGAGGGGGCTTCGAAAGGTTAGGGAGAAATGAATTAAAACACAAGTTTATTTTGGTGCAAGAGATTCTGAAAATCTGTGCATATTTCTCATGATCTGCATTTTCCATGAACATTTTGAAAATTCCTCGCATGTACAGATTGCAAATTTTGCTGCACCGCAACAAAAGTGTCTTTTAATTCTATTGTCCCATACACCTTTATAAAGTACCCTCATGTACATTTTTACATATCCCTGTGGTTCAAATTTCCTTAGGAAATTTGCCTGCATGATGTAGTGTTTAGGTAGCCAATATACATTTTTTAAAATAAATATAGATGTGTATGCAATAGCTGTTTATGAGCTGCATAAGGAAAAATTTAATATTTTTGTTGAGATTGCTGAAAAACACAACCATAAAAATGGCGACAGAGCTCTTTGGAGCCATAAGAACTAATCCTTTTCACTTTTGAAACACAGAGAAAGGACAGCGTTTTATGTTTGTTGACATAACTTGAACCCTGAAACCCAAACCACCTTATTTTAAAATGCTTAATTTGCCATACTCAGCAAAACACCCCAAGCAGAGTAATGTGCGTTTTCCGAGTGCCCAGTGGCTCTGTCCTGCACAGAATCCATCCATTTAGTGCTGTATTTATCATATGGAATTTTCTTGGCAGGAAAGAAAGCCATTCAGCAAAACATAAAAAAGCTCTTAGTAGGAAGACCATTCATTTTGTAGTTAGCAGGGTTCTACAAATACTAAAGTATCACATCGAAGGTCTGTTTCAATAAGGCTGATATATGAGACCTGGCGAGTTTTATAGCGACAAGCACAATTTCTCTAAAAAAAGGTTTGTGGTGAGGCAGCTCAGCCGCACGGGCAGGTACCTCGTACAGGAAGCGCCCCGTCAACCCTAATTTCCAGTGAAGGTCAGGGCTGTTTTATCATTCCAAGATTCTCGCTTTAAAACCGTTTCCGCTCTGCTTTCTAGAGAGCCTTGGAGGTTTCCGTGCTCTGATAAACTCCTGTAGTGCCCTGGTCGCCTACCGCGGGACGGCCACTCGAAACACTCCCAGCTCCCGTGAGACCTAACTGCAGGTTCATGCCCACCAAGCACGCAGGCCAGTTTTCCAGAGCGTACCGTACGTGGGGCACGCCCCGAAGTTCGGGGGAAAAAAATGGAATTAAAACACACGTTTATTATCATGCGAAAGACTTGAAGTCCATGCCTAGCTTTTTCATAATACACATTTTCTACAAACTCTTCAAAGACCCCCCATAGACAAGAATTTACATTTTTTGTGCCACAATAAATTTATTTTTTTTTTAATTTGCCTTTTCATTCCATCTTCCATGCACTTTTTGACATGCCCTCATGGGAAGAGCTCTCTTAAAGGTACATCATGCATGTGCTTTTTTCCAAAACACAGTTTCAAGCAGACCAGAATCATCATTACGCTGTGAACATGTGGAGATGGGAGAAATGATTGGATACTGCAAACACTTTCTATTTGGGGATTTTTTTTTTTTTTTCGGTTTTTGGGAGGTGACAGAGGATTCTGGAATAAGGGTCTGTGGCTGTGTTTGCGTAATCTTGGAAAGACATTCCATGAATAATGCAGAGAATGGAACTGTGTAGGGGCCAGATTTCTTAGCGGGGGCCAGAAGTGTGATTTGCTCTGAAAGAGAAGGCCACGCGCACAGTGTTTACGGGTTGGAAGGAGCGGGGAGACGCCCCCTCACGTCGGCAGGGCTCCTGGTCTCAGGCAGAGAGCTGAGGGCCAGGAGCTGCGTTGGGACGGTGGCTCCCAGGAGACCCGTGTCACTAAGCTTGTGCTGCCGTGCGAGGTGGCACTGTCAGGGCTGCCCCCGCCCTGGACGACCTTGTCTCTCCCCTGCCTGAGCCCACAGCTCGCCAGTGAAATCCACAGTGCCACACACCTAAAAGGACTGACAGTGGCCAGGGGTGGGACACACCACAGCCTCTCATGCTGTCATGGGTCACCCTCCCCCCTTGGAGTCTTCAGTCCTCCAACCCCCCAGCCCATCAACTGTCTTTTGTCATCCAGGGAGACTTGTTCGTGTGATTGGAGTTTCTGCCCACACTGGGCTTGGGGAGAGATAACATCACTGCCCCCAGGGTCCCCCTGGACAATACTGGGGCCCACAGACTCACAGTCCTTGCCGGCCACCCTCCACTGTTGATTGTAGCTCGAAAGACAGGGCCCACCCACTGCAGCTCGGGAGGCTGCTTTGGTGGTGAAGACTTCTAGAACATTCTTTCTCATTACCTGTTTCATGCTGGCCAAGAGGGCCCAGGGCTTGAGACCTGCGGGTTCCTGATGAGACTGGGACCTCTGTGCAGACTGCTAACTGTGGCATCTTCCTGCCACTTGCCACCTGGTCCTGCCCAGCAGCGCCCTGCCCAGAGTGGACCCGTGTGCTGTGCGGGCTGTGTCTGGAAGGAGGTTGTGTGTGAGCGTGCAGGAAACTGTCACGGTGTCACGCGGACACCGGCTGCTCCCGTGGCGGGAGCCGCGGCGTGAAGTGAGGATCCTCTTGGACTAGGAAGGCTGGGGACACGTCTCTGGCCCTGGGAGAGGCCTGACAGCGCCGGAGGAGCTTGGCTCGAGCTGAGGGGGACAGGCCCTTGTCGGCTGGCCCGGGGCCCTGCGTGGCCAGTCCCGCAGGCAGCACGAGCGGGAGGCTGAGGGGCAGTGGCTGTGGCTTCAGCCTCCTTCCGGGGGCCCCTCATAGGCCTGTGCTGCTCATCACCCACCCTGCAGTACTTCCTGCTGAGGCCTCTCTGGCCGGAGCCTGGGGGTACAGCTGACACGCCTGTGGGGTGTAAGCAGAGATCAAAGTCGTGTCGGGGTGTGGAGCCGGGACACGCCCGCCCCCTGCCCGGAGCCACTCCTCAAGCAGCTGGTGACATCTCTGCCTTTCCCTCCCCACGGCAGGTGGAACTCACGGGCAACAGCATCTACGAGTACATCCACCCCTCCGACCACGACGAGATGACGGCTGTGCTCACGGCCCACCAGCCTCTCCACCACCACCTGCTCCAAGGTACTTCTGCCCGGCCCAGAGAGACCAGAAGGCAAACAAGACCTTGTTCTTGAACATGACCTGAGGGCTTCCCACGCCTGCCAAGGGGCTGTGGGCTGAGGAGGACTGCCCAGCCCAGGTCTCCCGCAAACCCTCAGCCCTCACCAAGTGGGGCTTTGCTCTCATGCCTCTGTCTTTTAAGCCAACGTTATCGAGCCCCCGTTATGTGCTAGGTAGGAGACAAAAGTGACCCAAGGCTGCTCCCCTAATGTGCTCTTGGGTTAAAATTTCCGGGGAGCAGCCTCTGAGGACAGAATCCAGTGGGGAGGGGTGTGCGGCGTGAAACTGCACGGGTAAAATTCCATCTGTACTTCCCAAGCGAAAATTCGGCATTCCCCCTGCTTATGGCTGTAGACCATAAACCACCCTGGATGACTGGCACCTGTGGCTCTGCCGGCCACAGACATCCCAGGCATTTTCCTTTCACTCTGAGGCTGTTATGGAAATTTCAACCTATCGTGTATGCTTGTGGCTACCTCGGAATTTTAGGAGTTATAAGACCTGCTACTGAATCTTGGTTTTTATTTTTTTAAAAATATTTATTTATTTGAAAGGCAGAATTACAGAGAGGCAGAGAGAGAGAGAGAGAGATCTTTCCATCCACTGGTTTACTCCCCAAATGGCTGCAACAGCGAGAGCCGAATCAATCCGAAGCCTGGAGCCAGGAGCCACAGCGCCGGCCTCTGATTCTTGTTATTTAAAGTATTAATGAAAGACCAACTTCATATCCATGTCATTACATGTTTAAGTATTTTGATAACTATTTTCCAGTATCATCAGTTTTGTTGTGATTGTATTTTTAAGATGTATTTGTTTATTTGAAAGGCAGAGTGACAGAGAGAGAGGTAGGGAGGGGGAGAGAGAGAGAAAGAGAGATCATCCATCTGCTGGATCACTCCCCAAATGTCTACGATGCCTGGGATTTGCCCTGAGCTCCTTCGGGGTCTCCATGTGCGTGCAGGGGCCCCAGTACTCAGGCATCCTCTGCTGCTTTCCCAGGTGCATTAGCAGGGGGCTGGATAGGAAGTAAAACAGCTGGGTCTTGAACTGGTGCCTGATTGTATGTATTTTACTTGTACATTTAAGAAATGTAGGCTCGGATCAGTTAGGAAGCCTTGGTTATTACACAAATGGCCCCTTAAATTACAGTTGCCTGGAGAGCTGGGGAGACAGAGGGCTTCTTCAAGAGGTCCTGGCCTTTCAACTGTCTCCAGCCGTCTGCTGAGGCCAACAGACATGTGACTAATGGGCCTCACACTGGACTACAGTATGCAGCTTGGCCAAAACACCCCAATGGAGGGGTCGGCCTGTGTCGTAGTGGGGGAAGCTGCCACACCTGGCATGCTATATATGCTCCACTTCTGATCCAGCTCCTGCTAACGCACCAGGGAAAGCAGCAGAAAATGATCCAAGTGCTTGGGCCCCTGCACCCATGTGTGAGCCTTGGAGGAAGAAGCTTCTGGCTTTGGCCTGGCCCAGCCCTGGCCATTGCAGCCATTTGGGGAGTGAACCAGTGGATGGAAGACCTCTCTGTCTCTCCTTCTCTCTCTGTAACTCTTTCAAATGAAATAAATCTTAAAAAAAAAAAAAAAGTGGAGCACAATGCAAAGAAGATACTTCAAGAGTGATGACTCTAGGGCATCTGGGGCGCCCTCCTGGGAGGGGCATTCTGAGGCCAGGAGGAGAGGCGACGGTTGTCACCCCTGTTGCAGGTGCAGCTCTATGCCTCCAGTTCCAACCCCGGGAATGGTTCTTAAGTCTGATGCTTTCTTACCAGGGCGAGGCTGGGGCACTGGTTCGTGAGATGAGACACGGGCTTCACGGTAGCCATGGCCCACGGTTCTTCTGTCCCTGGGTAGGCCCGGCCTCGCGGAAGCCACGGGGAGTAAGGGCTCTGCAGAAGCCACTGCTCACGCCCCGAGGCTCCGGCTGGACCGGGACGGAGTCTGGAACCCGCTCAGAGCCCACCGCAGCCCCACTCTGCTCTTCCACCGTCAGACAGTCGCCCAGGGCGCGAGCTCCTCCCACGGGCCCTGGGTGTAGTTTTCCCTCCCCAAGTCCCAGCCTCAGCAAGAGCGCTTCTGAAACGGAGAGCCAGGGAATCGGGGCGCAGCCGAGGGGGCGGGGCCGGCTGGGAGTGTTGGGGTCGCTGCTGAGCTGCCCTCCCTGTTTCATGGCAAACAGGTGAGAAATGGGCTGCCCCCCCACCCTGGCAGGCAGCGACCACGTGACGTTTCTTAGGTGTACTCGTCCTCACCTCGGAGCTTACCCGGAAGTGTTTCCGGCAGGCGGCCGCCCGAGGCATTGTGGGTAAAACATGGCGGCCCCCCGAGCCTGGGAAGGCAGGGTGCTCTGAAGCACCCTTAAATTGCCCTCGGGGAAGGTGGAAAACCGGGCTTCCATTCCTGGTGCACCGCTTCTTTAAAGATTAATTTATTAACCTCCACCGAGTGGCTGTTTATTTGTCGCAGAGCGACCCTGCGCTCACCCCCAAGGTGTGGGCGCCGCTCTGTTTGTGTCCCTTCCTGCAGCACAGCCGTGTATCAGGGGACTCATTTGCATCTGCAACACTCAGATCTTGCTGGCTCAGCCAGGGAAATACAGCGAGCTGGGTGCTGCCCGGGAGACAGAGACAAGGGGCTGGCCCTTCCCGGGCTGGAGGGGAGGGCGAGGGCCTTGGCCCAGCTGCAGGTTCCTGGGCCTCCTGGAAGTCCACAGTGCAGCCGCTGGAGCTGCCCGGCCAGGGAACGGGCTGTGCTTGCCGCTGCCACCCTGAGACAAGTCCGTGCTCCTGGGCTTCCTGGGGCTCAGGCACCGGCCTCAGGGCTGGCGACAGGTGCGCCTCAGCCCGGCCTGCTCGTGATGCCAGGTTCTTGCAGTGGCTGCGTTTGGAGCCGGTGGGGCCCAGTCTCTTCCCACTCCCTTCCCAGCGCTCAGCCCCCAGCAGGTGCTTTACTGGGTCAGGGTCCGGGCTGTAGATGCGGCCGTGGGAATTCCTGGACGTTGCAAGGAGGAAGACGGGGAGCGGTGGGACGGTTGCCGGTCTAACCTCACTCCTGCTTTCAGAGTACGAGCTAGAGAGGTCGTTCTTCCTCCGAATGAAGTGTGTCTTGGCGAAAAGAAACGCGGGCCTGACGTGCAGCGGATACAAGGTAGGTGGCGCAGGCCGGCGGGGTGGGAGGGACCGGGGCAGGGGTCTTGCTGTGTCTTCCGTTCTGTTTCACACAGGGGCCCAGCAGGTCCTGCGCACCAGGTAGAAATGGAGTCACAGGGCTCCTGGCTGCTTTTGGGCTGTTCCAGACAGACTGGCTGGCCAGCCGCACCACGGTTTATTGAGAATCCCTGTCTAGGGCCAAACCTGGGCCTAGCGGTAGTATTTGGAGCCCGGAGACGCTGCTCTGACCTCGGCCTGTTCCACAAATCTCCGCCCCTGGTGGGGATGGGCTTTGCAGTGACAGCAGAGCTGTCCCAGGTGCTAAGTGGGGCTTTATCTCACTGCGGTATCTCACTGGTCCCCAGGGAGCCACAGCCCTTCCAAGGGAGGGTTATTGCCCATTTCTTATTGCTAAAAACATTTTATTTATTTGAAAAGGTGGGGGGAGGGATTGAGACCGAGATCTCCCATCTACTGGATTATTCCCTCGGTGCTTGCACAGCCAGGGCTGGGTCAGGCCAAAGCCAGGAGCCAGAAACCCAAACACCTGGGCCCTCACCTGCTGCCCCCCAGCGTGTGCATTAGGAGGAAACTAGAATTGGGTGCAGAGCCAGGACCCGAATCAAGGCTCACAGGGGACGCAGGGGCGCCAAGTGACGTCTCCACTGCTGCACCAGTGCCCCACTCTATAATCTAGGACTTGAGCCGATGGCAGGGGAGGGGCGGCAGGTGGCCAGGCCTCTGAGGCCCGCATGCGTGTCTTCCAGGCTGCGTTTCTCTGCCAGCCATTGTGCTTGCCCTGGTCACTTCCAGAATCCAGGCGCAGGCTCGCCTGTAACAGCCTGGTGGAGGGCTCTGCCTGGACGTTCCTCAGCCCCTCCCACAGCAGGGGGCAGGGAGCTCACACTGCAGCCTCTTCAACCCCTTCTCCTCTCAGGAGCTCCTCTCCCTCCTCTGGGAGACTTCCCTGCTGTCCTCTGTGGTCCCAGACCTGGAGGCTGCTGGGAGACTTTCAGGAGTGCTTGCCCTGAGAAGGGGCGGGGGTGAAGTGAAGAGGAGGCCACTTTGCTACCTCTGCTCCTTTGTCCTCTGTTCCTGTTGTCCCCAGCCACCCCCATCCCAGGGCCTCCTCCACCCCAGGCCTGTCTCCCCTTGGCCCATCCTTTGAGCCCCACTCTGAGCCCTTCCCTTTGACCTTGGCCTTGCTCCTCTTTCTCCCCCAGCGTGGTGGATGCACTTGATGCTGGCCGTCCCAGGGTGGGGACCCCCAGCATGGCCTTGCACCTGACAGACCCTCCAGGGCCCTGGAGCCCGACTTGTTTCTGTCGCTAGTAACTCTCCCGTTGTCTAACCTGAAGCTAAGCACAGCACCTCGTCCCCAGCTTCTTTATCCACACCAGGGCACAGTGTGCCGGAAAGGTTTCAGGACTTCCTCCAGCTCTAGACGTTGTGACTGCGTGCGGGAATCCTGGAGGCAGAGTACTTGAAAAGAGAGTTTAAGGCTAAGATTCCAGCTCCCTTGACACTGCTCTTGTGATGGTGATGCTAACCCAAGTAAACGCTTCCAGTCGTGAGGCTTAAGGCTGTGCAGGTGTTTCTGGGTGACGTGGGAATGTGTGGCTTCCTTCCTGTGTGGCTTTGGCTAAAACAAGTGGAAGTGCTTCTGTACCGCCATCCTGGCGTATGGTTGGTTATCAGTGGGTAAAATCTTGAAGTATTAGGTAAATATATAAACATTTGAAAAGTGAAGACATTTTAAAACCAAATTCTGTATCTACTGGAGTGGTGGAACATGTCAAGTGACACAGAGGCCAAGTTCAATCCCAGGCTGGTGTTCTGGTACAGTGGATTAAGCCACCACTTGCCAGGATGGCATCCCATATCAGAATGCTGGTTCAAGTCCCAGGTGCTCCACTTCAACCCAGCTCCCTGCTGATGCATCCAGGCAAGGCAGTGGGTGATGGTCCAAGTACCTGGGCCCCTGCAACCCGTGTGGGAGACCAGGATGGAGCTCCAGGCTCCTGGCTTCAGCCTGACCCAGCCCCAGCAGCTGCTGTGGCCGTTTGGGGACTGAACCAGCAGATGGAAGATGCCTCTCTCTGTCATTCCGCTTTTCAAATAAAGAAGTAAAAATAATCTTTTTAAAAAATTCAACACTCCTGGAAGTTCGGAAGCATTGCAGTCACTGACACAAGCAATGTGGAACAGGTGAAACTCCTCTGAATGCCTTCGTTGGGTTTCTGATCATTACATGGCAGTGAGTCAGTTATGTATAAACCCATCATGTATCAGAGAGCCCTAATTTGTAGAGTTACTTGCACATGGCCAACCAGGTAAGACAACCCTCAGATTTGCGTTTCTTCTGATTAATGAGTGGGGTATGTATCAGCTCAGCAGAGGCTGCGCCTTTGAGAAAACGAGCCAGGAGGAGTGGGTGCCCATCTCCGACCCAGGCTGCTGGTGGTTGACCCTGCCCTCTGCTTTCCCAGGTCATCCACTGCAGCGGCTACTTGAAGATCAGACAGTACATGCTGGACATGACCCTGTATGACTCCTGCTACCAGATCGTGGGGCTGGTGGCCGTGGGCCAGTCGCTCCCACCCAGTGCCATCACGGAGATCAAGCTGCACACTAACATGTTCATGTTCAGGGCCAGCCTCGACTTGAAGCTGATTTTCCTGGATTCCAGGTAAGCCTGGCCATGGTCATGTCCAGGGGACACTGTACCCTGCGAGCTGTGCTAGGAAGGCAAAGCATAGCGAGGCGTAAATCACACAAGGATGTCATCGGAAAGGGAGTAGTGAGCAGCAGCTTCATGGAGCAGTGAGCTAAGCTGCCGCTTGCAGGGCCAGCGTCCCGTCGAGGAGAGATGATTCGAGTCCCAGCTGCTCCCCTTGTGATCAGCTCCCTGCTAATGTGTCCGGGAAAGCAGCAGAGGGTGGCCCAAGCGCTGGGGTCCCTGCCACCCACGTGGGTGGCCCAGATGGGGTTCCTGGCTCCTGGCTTCAGCCTGGCCTAGCCCCAGCTGTTGTGTCCATGTGGGGAGTGAACCAGTCGATGTAGGATTCCTCTCTCTCTCTCTCTCTCTCTCTCTCTCTCTCTCTTTCTCTCTCTGACTCTCCCTTCCAGGTAAATATTTTTTTAAGGGATTTCGTGAAACAAGCCATGAATGAGGAGGGTTAGTGTCAGCCTGAGGGCTCCGGGACTCAGTGTATTTGTATTTTAATCATCTCGCTGGCGTTGGAAGTGGAAATAGGTGTCGTGGGTACAAGTTAGCCCCTTTGGAAGGCCTACGATATTAGAATGTTTTTGGTTCTTAGTTTTAAAAATGTATTCCAAAGACACACACTCAGCTCCCTTGTGTTGGTTCTCTCCCCAGGGGCTAGGGTTGGGCAGTGCTGAAGCTGGGAGCCAGGAACTCCATCCAGGTGGCATCCATGTGGGTGGCAGGGACCTATGCACTTGAGCTGCCACTGCTGCCTCCAAGGCGCACGTTAGCAGGAAGCCGGACTCAGAAGCAGAGCTGGGACTAGAACCCAGGTCCTCTGATACGGACGTAGGCGTCTTTGACCACCAGCCCAGGTGCCCACCCTGTGATGTCAGAATTCTGTCTCCTGTTTCTACCGAGTTGGTAGCACATTAAAACAAAACGACAGAAGGTTTTCGTGCTGGGCAGTGTGTGAGTGGAGGGGGCCGTGCAGCTCGGGGCTCAGCCGTGCGGGGCTGAGACTGGACTGTGTCCATAGCTGGGCTCCGGGAAGGGGATTGGATGAGGCAGCAGCCCTGGTTCTTGTTGCCTGGCCTGGGAGAGGGCCTGCTGAGGGGCCTGCACTGGAATGGCGGGGGCGCCCTTAGGGCAGGCTGTGGGCCTCATACATGGTTTATTATTTGACAAGTAGTAGCCACGTATATGATGAGGTGCTCAGTGATGCTGTGGCCCCCGTGGGCATGGGTTCTGCCTCCTCAGATCCTGCCAACCTTGTATTAAAAATAAATGAACTAAATATCTGGACTGGATTGAACAGATCTTTTCTTGCCTAAATTACAGAATTTAACAGTTATTTACAGAGTACTTACGTTGTATTATAAGCAATCTAGAGATGATTGAAAGTATATTGGAGGATGTATATAGGCTCTTTTAAAAAATTGTGTCTATTAATTTATTTGAAAGGCAGAGAGATATTTCCGCTAGTTAGTTCATTCCCCAAATATCCACAGCATCCGAGGCTGGGCCAGGCTGCAGCCAGGAGCCGGGACCTCCATCGAGGTCTCCTGTGTGGGTGGCAGGGCCTCACCTGCTCAGCCCTCACTGCTGCCTTCCAGGTTGGGTTCGCAGGGAGTGGAGTGGGGAGAGGAGCTGGGTCTTGGACTCAGGCCCCCCAGCGTGGGATGCTTGTGTCCCAGGAGGCGGATTAACCCGCTATGCCGCAACGCCCGCCCTCTTCACTGATTCTTTGCTGAGAAAAACAAATCTACCTGTTGTGGGGGAGGGGGGAGAAGATGGAGGCACAAATTAATTGAGGTCATGGTTACTGCACCTCAGAGTGGCCATTGTCCTCCCAGAAACTCCAGGCCAAGAGCAAGTCCAAGTGCAGCCATCTTGGGGGGGAGCTGCCCACAGGGACTTGCAGGGAGGGGGCAGGGCTACCTGCCTCAGAGCCCAGCATGCGAGGTCACAGGGGGCCCTTTGCTGACACCGGAGCCACGTCTGAAAGTCACCCAAAGGAAATGAGCCATGTGTGGTCATTACTGAAGAAACCAGGGAGGAGCCAGCTGGACTCCCACCTTGTGTCATGCCCTGGTAGGAAACCCCTTTGGGGACCTAAAAGTCGGAGTCTCCCCAGAGGAGAGTTGGGGGTCTGTTCAAGTTGTCCAGTCCGCACTGCTTTGAAGTGAGGAGGGTCTTCCCAGCCGAGAGATGAGGTCGCCTCAGCACCAGGCCACTGCCCAGAGGGACCCCCAGACATGGCTTTCTTGAGTGCCAGTGGGGGCTCCCGAACCTCGGTGCGAGTGCTGCACCCCACAAGTGGGTAGGAGGGGGAGGCTTCTGTCCCTACCCGCTCCGTGTCAGGAAGCTTCTGGTCGTCACATGGCCTTTACTGAACTCCAGTCACGTGGCAGGGGTGCGAAGGGGTCAGAGGGTGCTGTGCATTGTCCACAGTCCCTGAGGTCTTCAGTGTGCTCTAGCTGGGACGCCTTTAAAGGCCACTGCATCAAGGGGACAGGGGCCTGGGCTGGTCCAGTGCTAAGAGGTAGTGGTGGTCAAGTGCACAGGGAGATGTTGGCTTCATCACCCAGATCCTAGGAGCCACGATGAGGGGTTGGCCAGAGACCCGGCAGCCCCAGGTCACAGGGACAAGGGTGGTGACACCTCACCCATCTCAACCCCAGATGCATCAGGACTCAGCATAACCTGAAATGTGGTTCCTAAGGGTTTTGCAGTATTTCGCTTTGAAAGTAGAGCTGGCGCTTTTGCTAAGGCTAGGTTTACCTGGTCGTGTTTGGGGTTTGGCAGATTGCATGATAGGTCTTCAAACACTAGAAGTTTGGGGGAAAAGGAGGGCCTCCTGCCAAACCCTTCACTCTCCCTTTAATTTTTAAAACCAGTGTGTACCTTGATGGAGGACGTAATCCGTGTGTCCTGACGCATTCACACGTTCGGGGCGGCTGTTCTATTGCTTGACGTGCAGAGGGCCTGGGAAGCCCTTTCATCCCCACGAGGCGGAGACACCTCCTCTCTTTTTGGAGACACAGTGTCCCCCGCCCCACAGAACCAGACTCAGAGGGGCCTGGAAGGTCCAGGTGGCCCCAGGCCGCTCCCGAGCGCTTCCCCTTCCTCGGGCCCTTCTGTCCCCCAACTGGGAGCCATTCCAGGGAAGCCTGAAGATTTACGATGCAAAATCCGAGCAGAATGCAGCAGAAAGGGAAGCGGGTTTAAAGAACCAAAGCGAGGTCAAGTTTCCTGGTTTAATTTACAGCCAAGGTTTCCTATCGCTGCCAGCAGGGCCCCCAGCCCCCGTCTGCTTTGGTGCCCCCGCCAGCCCCACTGTCCCCAGGACTGACTTCTCAGCAGACTTTTACCCCCCTGCAGTCCTGTCCCTGCCTTTCATCTGCTCCTGAGTGTCTGTCACCAGCGTGGCCAGGGCCGCCTCCTCCCGGGCACGGTTCCCAGCTCCCTGCACACGGAGCGGTCCTAAGACTGCTGGTGGCGTGCTCTGGGAAGCCAAGGGCCACTCTTCTTCGGAGAGCGGAGATGCGAAATTCATGTGCCTGGGCCTTGATGAGAACGAAGACGGGCCGTGTCATTTAAACACTGGGAAAATGTTCCCATGTCAGGGGAGAGCTTAGGTTACCTTAAGTCGCAGTATTTGGGAGTTAAAATTGGGGGTCTGAAGCATGCCTCCGCTGATCCCAGGCTTAAAGCTCCCCGGCCATCCCCGACTCCCCTCAGTGGGAATCACTCAGCTGCAGTGTCCAGAGAGCAACTTGCTAATTAACAGTGTCGGGGGTGGGAGGGATTTGAATGCCCTCACGTACGATAGCCAAGGTGTGGAAGCATGCCAAGAGTCCATCAGCACGGGGATTGAAAAGCCAAGTCCAGAATGCGATGTAAGCCAATCACGGGAGAGAAGCTAGACCCAAAGGGCCACGGATTGTATCGGTCCACTTCCGAGGTAGCCAGAAGAGACGAAAGTCTAGAAAGAGAAAGTGGAATCCCAGTTTCCAGGGGCTGGGGAAGTTAGTGTCTAATGGATGTGGAGCTGCTGCTGCCGCCTTTTTTTTTTTTTTTTTTAAGAGTTGTTTATTTGAAGGCTGGCGCCACGGCTCAATAGGCTAATCCTCCACCTAGCGGCGCCGGCACACCGGGTTCTAGTCCCGGTCAGGGGCACCGGATTCTGTCCCGGTTGCCCATCTTCCAGGCCAGCTCTCTGCTGTGGCCAGGGAGTGCAGTGGAGGATGGCCCAAGTGCTTGGGCCCTGCACCCCATGGGAGACCAGGATAAGCACCTGACTCCTGCCTTCGGATCAGCGCGGTGTGCCGGCCGCAGTGCACCAGCCGCGGCGGCCATTGGAGGGTGAACCAACGTCAAAGGAAGACCTTTCTCTCTGTCTCTCTCTCTCTCCCTGTCCACTCTGCCTGTAAAAAAAAAAAAAGATTTGTTTATTTGAAAGGCAGAGTTACAGAGAGAGGGAAAGACAGAGAGGAGAGGGAGAGAGATAGAGACAGAAACAGAGAGACAGATCTTCCGTCCATCGTCTGCTGCCTCCCCAGGTGCATTAGCAGGGAGCTGGGCTGGAAGTGGAGCAGCCAGGACTCAGACTGGCGCTCATATGGAATGCTCTTGTTGCAGATGGCAGCTTGCCTGTGCACACTACGTGGCCGGTCCCTGGGTATGGGGTTTCTGTGTAGTATCAGGAAAAAATGGTGGAAAGGGATGGTGGCGATGGTTGCCCAACTATGTGAGAGGAGTTAATGCCGCTGAATTGTACACACATGATGGCTAACATGGTGCATTTTATATTATGTAAATTTTATCAGAATAATTTTTTAAAATATTTATTTTATTTATTTGAAAGACAGAGTTACAGAGAAAGGTAGAGACAGAGAGAGGTCTTCCATCCACTGGTTCACTCCCCACATGGCCGCAACAGCCAGAGCTGGGCCAATCCAAAGCCAGGAGCCAGGAGCCAGGAGCTTCTTCCGGGTCTCCCATGCAGGTGCAGGGGCCCGAGCACTTGGGCCATCTTCTACTGCTTTCCCAGGCCATAGCAGAGAGCTAGATCAGCAGAGGAGCAGCCAGGACTAGAACCAGCGCCCATATGGGAGGACAGCGCTTCAGGCCAGGGCTTTAGCCCGCGGCACCACGCGCCGGCTCCCAGAATAATTTTTAAAAAGGGGCTCACCCAGGACTGTGCTCCCGGGCCCCCACAGATGAGTATTTTCTCCCTGTGGGAGCTTTCTCCCAGTGTCGGTATCAAAGTTCACCATTCGGCGTCCTCAGCTAAGCTTGACCTTGAACAAGGCTGCAGTCTGAAGCCATCCCAAACATGCTCCTAGCCAGCGGTTTCAGAAGAACATTCCTGCTCACAAATAGCACTACATCCTGCCCTGGGCTAGAGTTCAAAGACTTTCTTCTTGTAAAAAAGATCATTCTCGGCTTCCAAAACCAACACACACCCCCCACCCCCTGAGCCTTTTAGCACTTGATTAGTTGGCAAAACCAATATTAGTTTAAATGAAAAGTAATCTGCAGAGCCGTGTGACTCATGGAGCCGCTGTCCTCCCCTAGGGTGACCGAGCTGACGGGCTACGAGCCACAGGATCTGATCGAGAAGACGCTGTACCACCACGTGCACAGCTGCGACGCCTTCCACCTGCGCTACGCGCACCACCTCCGTGAGTAGCGCCCCCTGCCGGCCGGGGAGGAGGCGCTGGGGGCAGAGAGCGCAGGCCTCCCTGTTTGGTGCAAGGATCGCCCCCGAATCTTCAGTCTCAGGGCAGCTCCCTGGCCATTCTCAGTGAGACCGAGAGGTGTGGGGTAGTGGGGAAGTGGCCTGGAGTCTAGACAGTGGATCTGAGACTTCAACCCCTCGAGGCCGCGGGTCCTGGCCGGGGGATGTCAGCCTGGACGGAGTGTTTGGTTTGCCAGTGGAGCAACCTGTAGTCGCTGAGCGTGTAAAGGAGTGGCACTTCCTTCCTGAATCCAAATGCAGGTGGAGACCAGTTTGGATGGCGTGAAACACCTTGCTCCCCTGCTGTCCAGGGGTGCCGTTTCCTGGTGCAGGTGGGGAGAGGAACTTGACCTTCTGCAGTGTGGCCAGTGCCATGTCCCCTATTCTTGTTTTGCCTTGTGGTAACTAAGAGACCTCAGAGGGCAGGTTGCTGGGCCACATTGGAGGTGGACAGCAGGTCCGTGAGTGGCTCCATCTGCAGCCACATTGTCAGTCTGGCCACTGGGCATGGACTGGGGACCCAGTGAACGTGATGGACACTTGGGTGTCACCATAGTTTGGCTCTCCCCAGGTCACCACGGGCAGAGGTCACGGCTTCATCCTTGCTGTGCGTGCAGAGACTGGGAGCCGAGCACAACTCTTAATTCCTGCCTCTTTAATGACCACATCATGGTCCCCTGTCAACGTCCCTGTCACTCTCGGGCTTGGCAGGGAAGCAGCTGTGTGGTGTTCGGAAGGAAGGTCAGTGTCGCTGGTGCAGGAGCTGGAAGACATTCTGCGCGAACAGGGTAGAGAGTGGCACTCACAGAGTGGGCGTCTCGCGGATCCGATGGACAGAGTGAGGGGGCAGCGTAGGGGAGGGTACTCCAAAGAAGTCAGAGCAGTCGGCAGGTGGACAAGGCGCTGCTTGGAGAGGGCGTGGCGCCCTGGCAGGCACCCCAGGTCCATCTGGAAGGGAGGACAGTGGCACTCGGAACACAGAGGCCAGCACCTGCACTTGCCCATGTGACCCGCGCGTGGAGGCAGGTGTGTGCTGGGGAGCTTCTGGGACGAGTGGGGGCGTCTGAGCAGAGCCCTGAAGAGCCGGAGGGCGGGAAGCGAGGCCTCTAAGCCCAGAGGAAGGCGAGGGCGGCCTTCAAATCTTCCTTCAGGTCCTGCCTGCCTCCAGGCCGGGGGAGGGGAGCGAGACTGTCCCCAGGGGAAAGGAACCGCATTCCTGTTCCGGAAGGCTAGCGAAGGCCACGGTGATGCCAGGCGGTGGCTCCCGTGCCCCTGTCTTGGTCAGATGTTTTTCACGCAGTGATGCTGTCCCCTCGGTGTGGTGGTGGGAGGAGCCAGGCTGCCATGTGTCCATCTCCCAGGTGAGCAAGCTGAGACTCAGGGACCCAGCGGCCCGCAGCGGGGCAGCAGCTGTGTTGGGCCAGGACCGTAGGCCAGTCCCTGTGGTTTCCATGAACCTCAGGGACATAGCCTGGCCTCCATCCCATAGGAGCCCCGGCCATCTGGAAGGTGTTTGGCTTAACATACTCACACGGGGATTTAACCTGAGAAGGTTCCTATGTGTCACAGAGCCGTTCAGTGATCCCTGGGGAGGCTGGAAGGGCAGGCAGGGCCAGGCTCCCATGGGACACACAGCAAAGGCGGCAGTGTTTCGATCCTGGACCGAGCACAGCTTTCTCTTCCGAATGGGCTGGAATTAGCAAAGCACGGGACCCAGAAGACAGCGATCCTGACGGTGGTCACTGCCGTCCTGTGACTCCAGGCTCGGCTGGAAGGACACGAGGACGAGAGGGACGCAGGGCGCCCAACCCGGAGAGTCTGGTGTGGCTTTGAGACCCACCGCGGGCCCCAGATCCGCCCGGTCTCCCCTGCACTGGGTTTGCTGGATACTGACGAGGCTACGGCAGCAGGCACGGTCTCAGACAGCGGGGAGTGTGTCAGTCGGCATTTCGGGACTGCAATGGAATACCCGAGGCAGGTTGACTTTGTAAAGGAAGGGACTCCCTACCTTTGGGGGAGTCACAGTCCAAGACAGGAACAGGCCCCATTGGTTTGTCCTCTGGAGACAGCCTTCTTGCTGGCAGAATCCCGAGATGACAGAGCGAGGTGTGGCAAAGGACACGTCTGTGCATGTCTCCTTCCAGAGCCAGCCGCGTCCACCATGGGGCTGCGCCCTAAGGGTCCCACACGGTCTGGTCCCGCCTCCGGTCTCACCTCCGGAGGAAGTTTCCACCCTCTTAATGCCATTAGCTTAAGACGTTGGGGACCCAAACCCAAGCCCTGGACCAGAGTTCTTAGCCTTGGCTCTTACACACAGCAGGAGAGCCACGCCACCGCCCAGAGCAGCCCCGACACTGCCGGGGGCTCATCCGCCCGGCCCGAGTGGCACCCTCAGGCGAAAGGAAGGCAGCTGCAAGGGTGGGGCCCCTGGGACGAGGCACGTTGGCCAGTCAGCACCCTCTCCAGCGTGGGGCTCTGAGGCCAGGGGGCCCCCTCAAGCCTCCTGCTCCCCACTCTGTCCCCAGGGCTGCCTGGCATCGGTTTTGCTTCCTTAAACTCCAGAAGCCAGCGAGAGCCTGGAAGTGACTGAAACATGGATGTGGACTGAGAGGGAGCCAGGAGAGCCAGGGGGCCGTCAGCGAGGCATGGCCTGCCGGCTGTTGCCCTGAGCCAGCTGGAGCGCTGTCCCCAGGGAGACAGTCCTCAGCCAAGGACTGCTCTAGGAGGGCTAACTCCCTGGCTTAGCCCACAACTGGCCCTAGTGGACCCTACCAGTGCCAGGCCCCAGAGGGAGAGCAGGTGCAGGCAGGTGGAGGTTGGTGGTGGTCAGAGCAAGGGTCAAACTCCTCACAGCCGGCCTCAGCCTGCTCGCCGCCTCCTCTGTGAAGACCGCCTGGGATCCAGCCCTCAATGCGTTCCTCCTCACTTCCTGGCTCTGTGTGTCGCTTGTTCCTTGCACAGAGCCACACCCATGCTGGGGGCCGTCACCCTCCCTGCCCAGAGCTCGTTGCCAACAGGAGCATCCTCGTGGCCGAGCTCCTCTCTGTGGGGGCTGAGGGCAGGTGAGCCCCCGACTCTCCCATTCTGTCTGCACTCCCAGCTGGGTGCCCACGGTCACAGCCCTCCTGCCGGGATGGGTGTCCAGCTGCTCCTGAGCCGCTAGGCCTGGCCCGGGGGCCCACACTCTTGTTGCTGAGCGCCGCTTTGGTCTCTGGCTGCATCACTGGGTCAGAGCAAGCGCCGTAGCTCGGGCTTCAGCCACGCACCTGGTCGTCTCACGATTCCGGAGGCCTGAGCTCTGCACCAGGCAGGGGCAGGGCTGCCTCTCCGAGGCCTCTCTCCTGGGTTTGTAGACGGCAATGGCGTCTGCGCCCTGTGCCCATGGGCATCCCTTTGGAGGTCAGTCACATGCATTAGGGCCCACCCCAAGGACCCTATTTTATTTTTTAAAAAGTTTTATTTTTAAATTGAAAGGCAGAGATAAATAGAGAAATTTTTTAAAGATTTATTTGAAAGAGTTAGAAGATGAGAGAGAGATCTTCCTTCCGCTGGTTTACTCCCAAAACAGCCACAATGGCCCAGCTGGGCTGTGCCAAAGCCAGGAGCCAGGAGCTTCTTCCGGGTCTCCCATATGTGTGCAGGGGCCCAGGGACTTGCGCCATCCTCTGCTGCTTTTCCAGGCACATTAGCAGGGAGCTGGATCAGAAGTGGAGCAGCCAGGACTTGAACCAGCGTCCATATGGGATGCCGGCACTACAGGCCATGGCTTTAACCCACTGCACCACAGTACTGGCCCCGGGGGCTTGAATTTTAAGAATGGGTCACCTTGAATCCAGGGCTGTCCCAGGCTGTGATACGGAGGTGTGACTGCATGGAGGTGCATGATGGGCAGGGCCCCTGCCCTAAGGACTTAGGGCTTTGGGGACACCTTCCTGCCCACTACCAGAAGGACCTGAGTTCATGCTCTCCAGCCTGGACTTACGTCAGGCAGCTGGTTAAGAAAGACAGGCTAGATGCAGAACTGGAGCAAACCAAGAATGTTGTGAGTCAGTGTCTGGGGTTTCAACTTGGATTGATACGGAGACTCTTGCCATGGGTCATAGAGAAGGAAAAATTAAAAGTCTGTGTATATGTTTGTTTGTCCTCTGTATCTAAGTGTCATCACAGCGGAGTTTGAGAAAGTCTCGCTGCAATTTTTTCAATTTATTCTTATTATAAAACATTTGGGATACACTGGGTTCATTTTCTCCAGCTGAAGACAGTTACAGAGAGGTGGCAGGAATGCTGCAAGAAGTAAGAGGGCGTGTAAAGTCCGTAGGAAAAGGCAAAGTGTACGATCATCCTCCTAGGCTTGGCAAACCCTGCTGGGCACTGGTTTCCAAGCTGGACAGCTTAACAGGTTTTCTGCTGAAGACAGCATGCCTCTTGGGAGACCCAGGTGGGCCTGGTCATTTTGATCATGCCCCATCTTTGGTCATTTTGGAGCCATAAACAAGTGGGCTGGATCCCCCTCAACAGGCTCTCTCCACCTACAGAGAACTTTCTAGAAGCTGCTGCTCTTCCTCCCACAGTCGCCACTCTGCCAACACCTGGGCTGGGGTCCCTGGAGTCCTCAAGGTCTGTTGGCCGTGGTTTCCTGGTGATGTCATCTCCCAGGGTGGTGGTGGTGAAGCGAGGCCAAGTCTGTGAATGGGTCAGGTTTTCATTACCGTAACGACATAGCTGACACAGGCCGCGTGTGCAGCAAAGAGGCGCTTACTTTGCTCACAGTTTTGGGGGCTCAAGTCCGAGATGGGCAGCTCCATCAGTTTGACGTCTGGGAGGGCAGCAGAAGGCAGTGGCAGGCTGCATGCGTGGTGGTCGCTCAGGCAGGGAAGCGGTGGGGAGGGGAGGTGGCCCTGACTCAGGCTGTTAGGACAGCCCTCCCCCGAGCGCCCCAGGGGTCTCACGGGAACAGCCTTCCCAGACCCCACCTCCTGTAGGTTCCTCCCTCTCCCGATAGGGCCACCTTGGGGACCAAGCTTTAAACGCTGGGCCTCTGGGGAGGGGGGCGTCCAGCCTCCAAACCACTGCAGTGTGCAAAAACAAGGGGGCTTTTTGGTCAAAAATGCAAACCTCAAAAGGAGAAGCTTCTTACGGCTTCTCTCTTGCCTGCAGCCTTTGTTTACCTCTTTCGCTGAATCCTGTTCGTGCCCAGTGACTCAGATGCAGATGTCAACGTGGGCCAGAAAACAGGGGGTCTCTGCACTGTCCGGAGAGAGCGGCTCTGCAGCGGCAGGGGCTGGGGGACAGCCCTGGGCCCCGCCGGCTACACCCCTAAGGGCTGTGTGGCCTGACATAGGCTGTGTGCTTCCCGTCCCCGCCCACACCAAGAGCTTTCCCTTGTGAAAATGAGTTGATGCTAAATCCTGGTTGTGGAACTCGGACCTCAGCCTTGGTGGAAGTTTAGAGTGAAGAAAAGCTGCAAAGGAGAGCCCGAGCCAGTCTGTGGTCTCCTCCACCACACAGTGGATGAGCGGTGCTCGGGGGGAGCCCTCGGCCGGGCCAGCCGCCGCCCCGGGCCTGCGCGCGGCTTCTCTCAGCCTCACAGCAGCCAGGCGAGCAGGCACCCGGGCCTCCCCTCTGTACACCTGATGTAGCTGAGGCTCGGGCAAGTCGCTGGTCCAGGGCCACGCGGGTTGCTGGGGTGCGTGTGGGTTTGTGTGGCCACACAGGTGCCTACTTCTGCACAGACAGGTCATTCCCCAGGCATCCCCTCCCTTCTGCACTGTGTCATGCCTTGTGCCCACAGGGCGCCTATGCCACGCTCTGACTGAACTGCCATCTTCATGGCTGCATGGCACGCGTCGTCCCCCTCTCGACAGTGAACCCCGCTGTGTCCGAGCCTGGTTGGCACTGCTGGTAATTCCCAAGGGACTGACTCCTGGCCGTGAAGTGTGTGTCATCGATGAAGGACCACGCCAATCCCCTCTGCCTCTGCTCAGGATTAGCCAGCGTCACCTGTCACCCTCTGCCTCCTTTGCCCATATTACCGTCAGGGGCTTCCCCATGCATCTGGATGGATTCTGTGTTAAGGCTGATGACCCCGTGACTGTCAGTCTGCACTGTTGTTTTCTTCTGTGCCAGAACACTTTGTTGGGTGGTGTGGTGAATGGTGAGGAGCCGTCTGCAAAGGAGAAGAAGCCGGGGGGCCGGGAGGGCATGGGTGGGGACCCGGGGTTCTGTGTGTGTGCCGGCTCCGAGCCTCGCGGGACTGCAGCCTGGAAGGTCACGGGCTCAGCCCCTCAGGCCATCTCCCCAGCGCTCTGCTCAGGCAGCTGCTCTTCGGGGGCATGGGGCCGGCACTGCCTTAACAAGCAGCAATGTTCTGGCTGGGGTCCGTGCAGCCCAGGGCGCCCTCGGTTGGGGCTGCCTCCCCCTCCTGGAAGGCTGGGTGGGGCTGGGGAATGGTGCTTCATGGACGCATCGCGCATAGAGGACGGGCCTGTGGAACAGTTTCCAGCATGTGTGTCGCCGAGCTGAGCTGATTCCTGCCTAATCCACAGAGGAACTGCACGGGCCGGAGAAGCCCCGGCACCTGGGCAGAAGTATTGATGGCTGCGGAGTCTCAGACCCTCTCACTGCACACGGCTCCCGGGGAATGGCCAGCGTCAGCACCAATCCATGCCCCGTGGCCTGTACCTACCTTGCTCCTTTCTTTAAATAACAACATCACCCACCCCCTCGCTCACTGAGAATTTGGGGGATGAAAGTATTACAGTGGCGTTTGGGAAACTAAGGAGCAAACCCCGCTCTGCCAGGAACCCGTGTGGCCTGGGGAGTTGTGGTTCCCCCCAAGGAACCAGGGAGAGGGGGGCTGCTCTGCAGACCCCGTGCAGCAGTGGGCAGAGCTGGTGTGCGATGAGAGAGTGTTTGTGTGTGTGTGTGTGTGTGTGTGGGCGGGTGTGTGTCCGCCCTCAGCACAGGCCCGCCCCTCTGTCAGGCTCTCAGAGGTGACCGTGGCCATGGAGAGGCTGCGAAGCGGGGATGGAGGTGTCATCGTGTCCCCTTGTGCTTGCAGTGCTGGTGAAAGGCCAGGTCACCACCAAGTACTACCGGCTGCTGTCCAAGCTGGGCGGCTGGGTGTGGGTGCAGAGCTACGCCACGGTCGTGCACAACAGCCGCTCGTCCCGGCCCCACTGCATCGTGAGTGTCAATTATGTCCTCACGTAAGTCAGCCGCATTTGTTTCTCTCCTGGTCTCTCCTGCTCCCCAGCCCTCATTGCACCATCGCGCTCTCGCTCGCTCGCTCCCTCCCTCCCTCTCTCCCTCTCTCTCTCCAAAACTGTTCATTTGTCTCCTGTGTTGTTTCTAGTTGAACAATCCGGCCCAATGAGAGGTCCGAACTTTCTCTGTGCTTGGCAGTGAGGGCCAAGTGCTGGTCCGTGACGGGAACGTGAGGAGGGAGGGCCCCGGGTGGGCGGGGCCAGGTGCGGGGAGGCCCCCATCTGGAACAGGTGCACGTCAGGCACACCCGCTGTACTGTTCCTGTCCCTGAGGACCGTCCTGGGGGCTCCTGCCGTTCACGTCCCTGCCTCCCTGGCTTCCTGTGTAGCCCGCTGCAAACAACGACGACTGCTTGGTCCCTTGAAACGCTGGAGGCCAGTGCAGCGTTCAGGTGCTGTTCAGGCCATGGAAGCAACGGCTCCTCGCTCCATCTGGGAGCACCTCGGAGAAGCCTCCAAGAAGTTCACAGAAAATGCGGACTATGAAGAAGCTACCCGTGGTTTTCAATGTTTCTTTTTGGCACCAAAACGAACTTACCTTTTAATTACGTTTTCCCGAGAACTTTTTGGAGAGCACTCATACGTTACTGCCCCCCCCCCCCCGGAGGTGGTTGTGTATTAGATGGCCTTGCCCCAGCCCCACCCTGCAGCGGGCCCTCCTTTGCGTCCGAAGTGCACTGAGGGCTCAGCCGCCAGGTTCTTGTGCTGACTATCGCCAGGTCCCTATGTGATTTGAAGTAGATTTGGTAAAAAGTGTAAGGACAAACAAAACGTTGGAGCCCCTCATTAGTCTTCCTGGGCGCCCAGGGCTGGCTGGGGCCTCACGGACTGGAGAGAGCTCCACCGGCCCCTCTCCGTCCCGCCAAGCAGCACTAACCCCGCTCAGCAGTTTCTGGGGTCACCATGCTTGCGGCTGCAGGAAGCTCTCGTAACCATGGTGAGCCGGCCTTTCCTTAAACAGCCCCCACCTCCTGTCCCAGCCAAGCGCACATTGGGACGTTGACAGTGAACTTGTGCAGGGGATGGTGCGAGGGAGGCCGCTCCTCCTCGGCCACCTGCTAGGCTTGACCCCCCCTCTCGCCCTCCAGGGATATCGAATACAAGGAACTGCAGCTGTCCCTGGACCAGGTGTCCACGTCCAAGTCCCAGGACTGCTGGAGGGCCGCCTTGTCTACCTCACAGGAAACTAGGAAATTAGCTAAGCCCAAAAGCACCAAGATGAAGACGAAGCTGAGAACAAACCCTTACCCACCCCAGGTAACACGCTCTGCAGCTGACGGCTCTGGGGGGCTCGGACGCCTGGGCTGGCCCTGTGGGGTGAGGCGAGGTCCCCTGGGGGTGTGTCGCCTGCACAGTAGCGGCAGAGCCTGGGGAAGGGGATGTCCAGGCAGAGTGCTCCAGAACAGGAGACTGAGTGGGAGGGCAGGCCAGCCGCTGGACGCTGCGTCCTGTATACTTTAAAAATGATTGCAGAGACAGACGGACACGGAGACCTCCCATCCACTGGTTCACTCTTCAGCTGCCCACAGTGGCCCCGGGTTGGGTCAGGCTGAAGCCAGGAGCCGGGAACTCCAGCTGGGTCTCCCACGTGGGTGGCGGGGACCCAAGGACTTGGTCCATCACCAGGCTCTTGGATATGGGGTGTGGGCATCTTAACCACCAGGCCCGATGCCTACCCCCAGCAGTATTTCTGAAATGAAATCCTTCCCTCTTTTTTTTTTTTTTTTTTTAAGTAGTTTGGGAGCTCTTGGCAAGGACAGTGCCCACGTGTCTGCGGTATCGCCAGCGTGAGGTGGGGGCGTCTCTTTCTAGCTGGGGGTTCTGCCGTGCACCTGTCCCCGGGGAGCCCCGCAGGCCAGGGTCAGACGGGCCCCCCTGCCGGCCCACCATCCGTGCTTTTTGCCTCGCAGCAATACAGCGCATTCCAAATGGACAAACTGGAGTGCGGCCAGCTCGGAACCTGGAGAGCCAGCCCCCCGGCCGGCGGCCCGGCCCCCCCAGAGCAGCAGCTGCCTTCGGAGAGCAGCGACCTTCTGTACGCGCCCTCCTGCGGCCTGCCCTTCTCCTACCACTACGGACACTTCCCCCTGGACTCGCACGTCTTCACCAGCAAAAAGCCCATGCTGCCGGCCAAGTTCGGGCAGCCCCCGGGCTCCCCGTGCGAGGTGGCACGCTTCTTCCTGAGTGCGCTGCCAGCCAGCGGCGAGTGCCAGTGGCATTACGCCAGCCCCCTGGTGCCCGGCAGTGCTTCTCCAGCTAAGAGCCTTTCAGAGCCCCCCCTGGCCGCTGCTCGGCACAGCCTCGTGCCAAACTACGAAGGTGGGTCGGGTTTGCTCGTGGCGGGGGGAGGCCCGGGAGTGGTCAGGGGCCCGCAGCAGTGGGAGCGGCGTGGCGGTGGGTGGCAGGAGGACAAAGAACCCCCGCGCTTCCGCAGGCGTCTCTCTTCTCTGCTTCTGAGTAGGGCTTGCTATGCTCTCCCGCTCCCCACGCACGCACTCACGAGAGCCGGAAAGCACTGGGGGACCGTCCTGGAGCCTCGTGGGCCCTCGTGACTGCGTAAGGGGCGACAGGAAGCCGAGTGTGCAGCTTCCGGGCCCCCTGTCCCCCACAGGGAGACGGGGGATGTGCAGAGCCAGCTCCCGGAAGGCTCCAGCACACGCATTTCACAAGAGTCCTGTCCAGTCCACCCCACGGTGAACCAAGACACACAGGGTTTCTCCCAGGCTAACAGGGAGAATGTGGGCTCAGGGACAGAGGTGCTGCTCACCGGCCCAGGGAGAGACGTGATCTCGGGTCTGTGTTAGCATCTGTAAAATGGGATCATAAGCTACGCGCCTACCCCAGGACCTGGCACACCGCAGGTGCCTTCTCCCTGCGTGCTGGGTCAATGACAGGCAGGCCCCCCGGGGGCAGGCAAGTGGCCGTCCTCCATGGAGGACACAGACTCCTGCTTCCTGATTGGACCAACCCAGGCAGCAGGGTGGCGGAGGGTGAGGACTGACGGGCAGATGCAGGCCACACGACCCTCTTTCACCCAGACTCCCGTCTCCTGAGTGCAGGCACCACACAGACAGGCCGGTGTTCAGGGAAGACTCCCACGACCCCCACCCCACCCCCCGCCGGAGGAGGAGTCGAAGAGGAGCGCTCCCTGGACAGCCCCCCCCCCTCGCTTTGCGTGCAGATCCTCGAATCTGTTGCTCTCCTGCTCTGAGAAGAGGGGTCCCACCGTGGGAGAAACCCAGCCTCCATCACTAGAGCAGGTTTCCCAAAGTCGGCCACCTCTGGGAACCCACACGGCCGCCAGGGCCTCGTCAGCAGCCCCGTCCTCAGATTTGCATCCCTGTCCCCCCGGTGCACCTGTGGACAGAAGGGGCATGCAACGGCCAAGCACAGGGATTGGCCAACGGCTGACCGCGTGTGTGACATAGACTGGAATCAGTTTTCTTTGCATCTGGGCATGGGCTAAGGACATGACACAAAATTTGATTTTTGTGGCTATGTCATGTTTTTGTTTTTTTTTTTTTTTTTAAGACGTGCTCGTTTGAGGCCATTTGTGATCGATTTCCTAGTCTTGTTGGTATTAAAGGCAGGCAGAGGTGCGGCGAAGCGGACAGGGAGCGGACTGGTTTTCAGTGGGTAGTGGGGTGCAGGCTGTAACCGCTTTAACCCCGAGGCTGTGGGGCCGCCTCTCGCCAGGGCACCCCTGGGCGCCGGCCTGGCAGTGCGGCAGGGGAGCCTGGGTCTCCCGGACAGCGCGCACAAGGCAAAGATCGGACGTCGGTAACATCGGCTTCTCTCTGCTTGGCGTGGCTCCCACGAGTGTTCAGACCGGGGCCGCCCGATTGCCCCGCGCGGGGGGAAGGGGCGGGGGCGACCCGCGGGTCCAGCGCGGGGGGGTGGGGGCGCTGCTCTGGGCGCGCCCCTTCCTCCCCGGTGCCAGCGTCTAACGTGTCGCCTGTCCCCGCAGCGCCCCCCGCCGCCGCCGTCGCCGCCTCGCGCAGGTTCGGCGAGGACAACGCGCCCCCGCCGCCGCCGAGCTTCCCGAGCTGCGGCCACTACCGCGAGGAGTCTGCGCTGGGCCCGGCCAAGGCCGCCCGGGACGCGGCGCGCCTGGCGCTGGCCCGCGCGGCGCCCGAGTGCTGCGCGCCGCCGGCCCCGGAGCCCCCAGGCGCGCCGGCGCAGCTGCCCTTCGTGCTGCTCAACTACCACCGCGTGCTGGCCCGGCGCGGGCCGCTGGGGGGCGCCGCCGCCGCCACCGCGCCCGGCCTGAGCTGCGGCCCCGGCGGCCCCGACGCAGCCGGCGCGATGCGGTCCCGGCTCCCGAGCCCCCGCGGCCGCCGCCGCCGCCGTCGCCGCCCCGCCACCCGGCGCGCCGCGGCCGCACTACCTGGGCGCCTCGGTGATCATCACCAACGGCAGGTGACCCCTGCCCGCAGGGGGAAGCCATGGGCCGGGCCTGCCGAGGTTCGCGTGCCACGAAGCAGAGGGGCGAGCCGAATATGCACGATATAAATTAATTTATACAGAGACGACTATTTTAATAGAAGCCCGCAGCCGACTTTAGATTTTTACCGTAGACGCCACGAAGGCGGGCGCCGAGGCTGGGACGAAGGGACCCCCGGCCTTGCTCGCCCCGCGGAGACGTGGGGCGGGGGCCGGGTCGGTTTCCCTCATCTGGAAGTCGGGCTCCCGCACCTGGCCTGCTCCCGGGGCTGGGGGAGGGGCAGGAGACACCAACGCTGTCTTTAAAAAGTCACTCACGGATCTCGCGTTAACTTTTTTTTATTTTTTAATACAAAACTGGAGCCAAGACAGGGGAGGGGGCGCGCGTGCAGCCCCACCGTGTGTGCGTGAACTTGGGTGTGCACTTGGGTGTGCACCCAGCTCCTACTTCTCCCTAACCCCTGTGAACTCTCCATCACCCCAAGAGTGGCACCTTCAGCATATACTGAATAGGCATCAAATGCAAAAAAAAGAGAAAAAAAATTAAAACCCCGATTCCCTGGCCAGACCTTGACGAGAACGACCCCGCCAAGCCGGATTCCACGCGAACCGCCCACCCCCCAGCCCGCGCGCGTCCGCAATTCGCTAGGCGGGGTTTGCTACACGTAATGCTAAGGAAGTTGGTGACGCTGCATGTGCAATAAGGAAAACTGCCTACGGCCTGCACCTTGTGGGAGAAAACGTGCTTCCGGGAAGTAAGGAGACGATGTACACATTTGAAGCATTTTCTGTTATTTTATACACAGCAAGAGGACTGCACATGGACCTGTCATGTGTGTAACCGGTTCACAGAAATCCTTTTCCAAAGCACCAGCCGTGTTTGAAAAATAAACTTCCGTTCGTTTTTATGTTTTTTTTTTTTTTTTTTTCCTTTGCTTGTCATGGTGCGGGTCCCTGGAACCCGGGCTGTCAGACTGCTCCAGCTCCTCGCGCGGCCTTTCTCAACACCGCCCCGCCCCAGCCGCTGTCGACACGGGAACGGGCCCGGGGCTGACCCTGTGTGGACAGCGAGGACCTGACCCGCGCAGCCCCTGTGGGTGCCGGGCGGCTGGACCGGGCGCCTCCACAGCCGTCGGCGCGCTGGCTCCCTCTGCCCGCGTCGTGCGAGGAAACCGTGATTGTAGGAGGGCGTGGGTTTGGTGGTCAGCGGACACCACGGACTTTCTATCAAACGCCGCACAATGCGGCTGTGTCCGTGTGGGGCTGGGTTTAGCACACACTCGCGAGGGCGTTGGGGGCACTTCGAGAACAAGGATCTCACTGCCGAGATTATATACCACAACAAACCAAAAAACCCATTTTAGATTTACAAACGATGCGGTCCACGGGCTCCACCGAGAGCACGCGTGTACCCCGCGGGCCCCGCAGCCTAGAACCCGAGCAGCCTGCGTCAGAGCGGCTTCCCGCCGGCCGGGGCCTCCCGCGAGCGCGCGTGCGCGGAGCCGTCGCCACGGCAACCCGGCCCGGGCGCGTCCGCCTCGGAGCGCGCGCACGCCGCGGCCGGCGTATTGTTCCCGGGCTTGGGCGAGGGGCGCGGGCAGGGGAAGAGGAAGCATTTTAATACCTAGGCCTCTCTCTCTCACACACACACAAAAGTCCTAGTGAGCCCGAACATGTACCGTGTTGACAAAAATGCCAGATCAAATGGATTTGAGGAATCAGCTCAATTCACGACTGGCTCAGCCCTCCCAGGGACAGGAATTCCTTTATGTCCTTGGAAGCCCCTTCTAGAAAAGCCATTCCATTCATACCTTTGTGCAGAAGTGAGCTGTGTGCGAAGGGCAGCCCCGGAAAGCCCCAGCCCCTCGCCCCCACCCTTTTATCCTCCTCATCCCGGCCTCCCTGCACCCTAGGGTGGGGAGGGTCCTGCTTCTACCGTTCAGGGGTCGCCTTGGGGGCTGGCGCGGACACGGGCGAGAAAGAACACGCTCAGAATGACAGCAGCCCCAAGGGTTAGGGTTACCCGGGCGGCACTGTCCAGGCACCTCCTCAAGCGCTGTATTACGACCCTGGAGCCACACAATGAAGCCAAAAGGCGAGCGGTTTCCACAAAAGAACAAGAAACGCTGTCAAAGAATCCAGAAGTTGTTAGAGCAAATTTATTTCTGACCTGTTTTAAAAGTTTTTTTTTTTTTTTTTACTTTTTGGGTTTTGCTACCTTTTCATTCTTTGGAGTAATAAGATTTGTATGACGCGTAATACCTTTGTCAGAAATACATAAAAGCCAAACACCAGCTTATTGCTTAGAAATACATACATATTCCTTACTATGTAAAATGATATTTATTTTGTAAAAATATGTTCAGATATGAATAAAAATACTGTAGCCAAAAGTAGTCGCCTCTTTTTTTAAAAAAATGAAACTTGTGGTGAAAATAAGGAGCCCACACTACAGAAAGTCGTAAAGTTTATTCCGTAGACTTGCTTTTTATAGGCAATGGTTTAAAGTGAGTTTTCTGAGATGGCTCCTTGAAAAGCTAAAAATGCAAAAGGTTCAAACCTCCTCGAGTCTCAGAGCTGCATAGTAATCACCTGGGAACAAGGACTGGGGTTCTGAGGCTGGCTGGACCCAGGGCACCCCCACTCCTTGCGTGTTGCAACTGCAGGGCAGGCTGGCTGTGTTCTCTGCACCCCAACACTAGGGTGAGGAGTGTCCATGCTGTGTGTGTCGGGGGTGAGGACCCCCCAGGCCAGTGCCCCCCACCCCGGGACCTGTGTCCCCACGGCAAGCAACACCAGGGTGCTGCAGGAGAACCCGCCAAGGATTTCACAGGAGATGCGAACCCTCTTCCTTCCAACCACCCCCGCACCCCCGCCCCGCCCGATTCCCAGCGCCAGCAGGGGCCCCAGGATGCCCAGTTATCACCGCGTCCTGTGGGGGGGGGGCACCTCCTGCGAGTGCCACTGAAATCGGCCACCAGTCCAGGAGGAGGACACCTCCCCTTTCACAAAACACGGCAGAGGGCAGAGGGCAGAGGCATCAACACAGCTTGCAAGCGGGAGGGGAGCCCGGGCTCTCGCACCCACGCTCCTCCTGAGTCCAGGGTCCCATTTCAGAGAACGGGCAATGCAGTTTCTGTGAAGACTGAAGCTCCGTGGACCCTAGACGTGGGGTCGGGCAGCTCCGCCCCCCGTCCCGCGGTGCAGCAGGCAGCCGGGGGTCGGCCTCCGGCCCTTCGCTACGGAGCATGGTGCCGAGTCTTCGGTTCCCGGCAGGCAGGATCAGGCTCAGCAGAAAGAGGCCCTCTGCCCCCAGGCTGCCGTGTCCCCCCCGGGGAAGGCCGGGCTCCTGCTCACGCGAAGGCGGCGGCTCCACGGCGCAGGGCCACGCGGAAGGCCCGGACAGCTCCGTCTGCTCGGCCGCGGCCACACTTCATTAGTTTTCATTTACGGAAAGGAAATGAAATGATAACATTTCTTTTTCTCCCCCAAACGAAGAACTGTCCAGAATAGGACTTCGGCTTAAAACAAAATGCAGCATGTTTTTCATTAAATAATCCCCCACCGAAATTCAAACAGTAATGGTGGCAGCTCTGGGGATGGCTTGCCTTGCGTCACAAAGTCGGAGAGCTGCAGTCCGCGGTGATATTTCACAGACACCCTCTCAGGGGCGAGTCCATTTTGCGATCCTGGGGTGGCGTGGACTTTTATTTAAACTTGTCACTAATTCTAAAAGAGGACTTGGGCGTTTCGGAGAGAGGGATTTATTTTTATTTTATTTTTGAGAAAAATAATTCTAATTGAAGCTTTACTTGCAAAAATTACGTTGGAAGTTCTTTTGAAGTTACATTTCCAAGAAATACATATTGGTTCGGTGTAGTTAACTAAACATGTTATTTTTTTTTTCTTCCTGCGGGGCTGTCTGTGCCTGGCTGAAGGTAGACAGATTTTATATTGAAAACCGCAAGATTCTGGAACTAGCTGGACGGCCTAAGACCCGGATAAAGACGGTGCAGGTTTACAATGAGGGGATTTTGTTCAAAGCTGAGTGCTCCATCGAGTTTTCTTTCCACTCATTTCGGTTGGGGCTGGCAGGAAGAGGGAAAAGTGGACAAACACTGGCCTTTTCAGGCTGAAAAGCAGCGGGCCTGACTCCTAAGTTCAGCAGAGTCGGGAGCTACATGGAGAAAGCGTGCAGAACATCTGGCGGCAGCAAATGTGTATCAAAGGCTCGCTTTCTTTTGTTCTTCCATGGAGACTTGTAGCCCATCAGAACTTGAACGTCATCATTTAAAGCTACACACACACACACACACACACACGAGGGTGTTTACTATCAGTATTTTCTTTCTTGGCAATACAAGGAAAAGGGGGCCAAACAGGGACTTCCAGGTAAAATGCCATGCGTCCGACCTCCTGCGCACCGCAGGGACTTGCCAGTCTGCAGGCATGCTCCAAGTGGGCTTGACCCTGGCTAACCTCGCTTCCAAGCTTCCCGCGCCCCCGGTGCGGCGGGCACGCGAGCCTTCACCTGCTAGAGCCACGCTGCCCGCCCCACCTCCCCTGCACCTGCACGCAGCGCCCCGTCAACGCCTCGAGGTCTCGAATGTGATCCCACCTCTTCAGAGCGCGCAGTAAACCTGGGCTTGGCTAAGGAGAGCTCATAAAAGAACGTCAGAGTCATTAGCTGGCTTCCTCTGCCAGGTCACTGCCCCGGTCACCCGCCGCCCGAGAAGGGAGCTCCCGGGGACCGCCTTCCCCTTCCCTCATTCACAACAGTAACAACGATTAAGCACCACTGTGTGTGCTCCCTGGGTGCTGAGACCCAGTGACGCCACGCTGGCCTGGGCCCCACGTGGTTTCTGACTGTTTCTCAACAGCCTAGGGGTCAAGGTCTCTGCTCCGGAGAAAGCTCTGGCCCACCCCACCGCTGCTTCCATGTGCCACCCTCTCCCAGGGGTGAGCAGAGATACAACCTCGGTGAAGGCTCCGCCCACATGCATCTCCAGCTGCCGGCCCTCATCCCCAGGCATCCGTAAACACCCAAACGGCAACAGAACAAACCTCAGAGAGCGGATGGATAGGAAAAAAGGAAGAAAGGAAAAAATCTGCCTAGGTTACTTCTCCAGAGCCCTGGGAAGAGGGGAGGGGCAGCCAGGGCAGCGGCAGGGCAGCAGCAGGCCGGCGGGGTGGGGTGGCGGCGCCAGGCCCAGGCCCGGGTTCCCGGTCTGCAGCTACGGGTGCTTGGGGACGATGAGGTTGCGCAGCATGTCGAAGGAGTTGCCGTCCGGGTGCACAGTCACCACGTCCCCGTCCTGCCGGTGCACCTGCAGGAAGCCACAGTCATCCAGGCCCACGATGGACACCTCCGGCCCCTCGGCACCTCCCAGACGCACCTGCTGACCACTGAAAATGCAGAAGAGCCAGCAGTCACTGGGGACTGTCCACACGGAAAGACGGGGCCCGCGCGCCCCGTGGTTAACACGCAGCTGGCCGACCCGGTTCCTCCCTCGGTCCCCGGGATACCCCCCCAGGCTAGAGTCTCTCTCTTCTGCACATGTGACATCACCCCTCCTGATCCTGTGGTCATCTGTGTCGCCCTCTCCCACCCCTCCTCCCCGTCCCCGACATTAGGAAATACGTGCGACTCCACGCACAGCGTCCTGGAGACTGCGGGGAGACTCCCGCGGGGGAAGGAAGGCTCTGTCTTAGGGGAGAAAGTTGGGCCGCACCGACCGGGCGCGCCTCGTTCGGCTCCTCCTCCTCCTGACCATTTTCCACGGGTCTGCTCACGTCACAGCCTCATCAGCAGCTCTCAAAGGACAGAACTTCCTCCCCCGGGGTCTGCCTGGAAGAATTTCACATCCACAGGAAAGCTGGGCGCATCCGTCCCTTCCCTTCTGCGGACACCAAAGGGCGTTTTCCGCATTTGCTTTCTCTGCACACACACGTGCGTGTCTGCAGGCTGCTCCATTTAAACACATGGGGCAGGCACGATGAACTCCTGTGCTTAAACGTCCTCGAACGTGGGGAACGTGGGTCTCCCAAGAGCCACGATGACCTCCCGGGAAGCCGTCATCACCAGGACCCTGCAGAAGGGGAACCTTGAGGTGGGGGGCGGCGCTCACCGTTACTAGCCTGTGGGATCTAATAAGCACCGCCCCTCAGGTCTGCTGCTCTTCCGTCTGCTTGTTTGTTTGAGGACTAGGCCGGTGACGCTTTGGAAGGGTCCTGGGTCAGCTGCCCGAGACCCCCGAGGTGGCTGTTGGAACCCAGAGTGCTGGGCCCCAGCCCCAGAATTTCCCATGTAGGGGGTCCAGGGCTGGCCCGCAGAACGTGGGTTTCTGACGAGGCCTCAGGTGAGGGTGCTGCCGCCACCTGGGGATCTCACTTTGAGAACTGCTGTTGTCTGGAAGCTTCCACGGCTGAGGAGATGTGACCCACTGTTTCCCCACGATCGGACTCCGATGACACCGGTTTCAAGCTCCCTCTGATCCCAGCATGAGACACAGAGGCCAGCGGGCCAGGCGATGCGGACTTGGGCGAGGTGGTGTCCAGCACGTTTCCCCAGCGGGGAAGGTAGAAATTAATAACTCTGACCAGTGCACAGTTCCTCATTTCCAGATACTGAGTTACCGGGTGGGCATTCGGCTCGCAGCCAGACGCCTGGGTTTGAGGCTCGGCTCTGCTCCCCATTCAGGCTTCTCAAATCCCTGAGTCCCTGCCACCCATGTGAGAGACCTGGATTGAATTCCCAGCTCCCAGGTTTGGTCTGGGCCAGTCTGGACCCTTGTGGGCACCTGGGGAGTGACTCTGTGGATGGACGCTCTCTGTCTACCTGCCTCTGTCTCTCGAATAAATATTTGAAAATGAAGGATACTGAACCACTGGTTTCATAAAGGGGTTGAAAAAGACGAAGCGGAGCCAGCACTGACCTGTGCACCCAGTATTTGTAATACAGGGGAAGAACGCCGTCGGGCCCTTCGTCCTGAAACGTGTCGATCAGCCGCTCCAGCGCCGTCGTGGCTCGCGCGATGAGACAGTCAGCTCTTAAGGGCTTCAGGTCCGCCTTGTGCTGCCGGTTGTATTCCGCCACAAGATCATTGATGCATATGGTAGGGTTGCTGTTCGTCACATTAAAGCCACAGCCTGGGCACAGACAAGACCATGAAAACCTAAGCACATCAAGAGAGTGGAGCCGGGGCCGGCGCCATGGCATAGCAGGTGAAGCTGCCACCTGCAGTGCCTGCATCCCATATGGGCGCCAGTTCAAGTCGCGGATTCTCCGCTTCCCTTCCAGCTCTCTGCTGTGGCCTGGGAAAGCAGTAGAAGATGGCTCAAGTCCTTGGGCCCCTGCCCACGGGGGAGACCCAGAGGAGGCTCCTGGCTCCTGGCTTCGGACTGGCGCAGCTCCAGCTGTTACAAACAACTGGGGAGTGAACCAGCAGATGGAAGACCTCTCTTTCTCTGGACTTTCAAATAAATAAATCTTAAAAAAAAAAAAAAAAAAGTGAGGGAGAGTGGTGCCATCCCACCTGGAAGAAAGGACACTTTTTTTTTTTACTGACAGCTTCCTGCTCCCATGCCTTCGTTTCAATGTTAAAAAGATTTTTCTATTTTATTTATTTGCAAGGCAGGGTAACAGAGAGAGAGAGAGGGAGAGAGAGGCAGAGACAGAGGGAAACAGGTAAGTCAGTTCACTCCCCAGATGCCTGCAACAGCCAGGGCTGGTGCCAGGTCAGTCAGAAGGCTGGAATTCCATCTGGGCGTGGGTGCAGAGGCCCAAGAACTTGGACCATCTTCCGCTGCTCTCCCAGGCAGGTTAGCAGGGAGCCGGAGCAGCCGCTGGAGCAGCCGGGACTCGAACCAGCGCTCAGCTACGGGATGCCGGCGCTGCAGGTGGTATTAACTCTGCCACGGCGCGTGCCTCCTCCATTTCAAGATCATCACCGCACAGAGTGGCTCCCTCCTTTATTATCTCATTCAAGCGAGGAACATCTGAACCTCACTGCCACGCAGGTGACAAAAAGCCAAGCCACGCTTCAACTTAACCACGCAGAAGCCACCAACGGGACGAGCCTCTGACGACAATGGTGCCGCCAAGCCCAGGGGTGTAGATCTGCCCCGGGCCGGTAAGATGAAATCTCTTGTTCTTTCCTACTTGAACAACGTAGTGCAAGCTTGAAAAGGGAGCATTTCATTCCGGTCTTGAGGAGAGAACTCGGATCCAGAGATTTCAACCCCTGGTCTCGGCACAACCCCAGACACATCCCTTAATCCCTTCCCCTTGGAAGTCTCTGGGGCTAGGGTTACGCCGCTGGCCGGGGGCCAGCCTGTGTTCAGGGGCTCCTTTCCGTGCTCCCCCACCAGGCAGGCGTCAGGAGAGTGAGTTCCCAGGGCCGGGGGCTGAATCGGCTGCTGTGTGCGGGCCCCTAACCCCTCCACGCTCGCAGGGAGAGCTTAGCGTCGTCAGGAGAGCCAAACCTCAGCTTCCAGAAGGGCCCTGGCCCGGCCTCAAAGAGGCTTCAGTAAGAAATGAACGGCTGCAGGCGGCAGGCCGTGAGACGGCTGTGTTCACAGGGCCTAAGGCCAACGTGCCCACAACGTCTCCATGCAACAGTGCCGCGTGCAGGCGCAGCCTTCTTCCCTCAGTGTCCTGTTCTCAGTGTGAAGGGGACGACGGCTCAGCCTCGGGTTTTATTTATTATTTTTTTAAGTAGACTGGTTGCTAAAATACTAAGCAATGTAAATTACATCTGGAAAACACGAGTAATTGCAGCCACGGGGCAGAATTTGCAGTTGTTTGTCCATTCATCTAGCAACATTGACGATATCCGAGGTGCCCGCTGAAGGCAAGGCTTTAACCGCTATGGAGGCTGAAAGTTCTCCCTTGCATTCAGAAAATTCAAGGTTCTGGGGCCAGCATTGTGGTGTAATGGGCTAAGCTGCTGCCTGTAGCCCTGGTATCTCACATGGGCGCCGGTTCGAGTTCTGACAACTCCACTTCCGATCCAGCTCTCTGCTAAAGCATCTGGGAAAGCAGTGGAGGTGGCCCCGGTCCTTGGGCCCCTGCACCCACGTGTGAGACCTGGATGAAGCTCCTGGCTCCTGGCTTCATCCTGGCCCAGCCCTGGCTGTTGTGGCCATTTGGAGAGTGAACCAGCAGATGGAAGACGTCTCTGTATCTGTATCTCTCTCTCTCTCTTCTCTCTCTAACTCTGCCTTTCGAATACATAAAATAAATCTTTAAGCAATGAAAAAAGAAGTCCTGGGGTGGGCATTTGGCACAGTGCTTAAGATGCCCGGCTCCCATCTGAGAGTGCCTCGGGTCAGGGTCAAGTCTCGGCTTTGCCCCTGGTCCAGCTCCCTGCTCATGCACACCCTGGGAGGCAGCAGGTGTCGGCTCAAGAACTTGGGCCCCTCCACCTACGTGGGAGATCCAGATTGAGTTCTGGGCTCCTGGCTTTGGCCTGGCCCAGCCCTGGCTGTTGTGGGCATTTGGGGAGTGAACCAGAGGATGGAAGGTGTATCTCTGTCACTCCATCTGAGTGTGTGCACGCACTTTTCTGCCTTTCAAATAAATAAACAAACCAGGCCGGCGCCGCGGCTCAATAGGCTAATCCTCCGCCTAGTGGCGCCGGCACACTGGGTTCTAGTCCCAGTCGGGGCACCAGATTCTGTCCTGGTTGCCCCTCTTCCAGGCCAGCTCTCTGCTGTGGCCAGGGAGTGCAGTGGCAGTGGAGGATGGCCCAAGTGCTTGGGCCCTGCACCCCTGGGAGACCAGGATAAGCACTTGGCTCTTGGCTTCAGATCAACGCGGTGCACCGGCCTCAGCGTGCTGGCCACAGCGGCCATTGGAGGGTGACCAATGGCAAAAGGAAGACCTTTCTCTCTGTCTCTCTCTCTCACTGTCCACTCTGCCTGTAAAAAAGAAAGAAAGAAAGAAAGAAAACAGAAAGTCCTAGGGAGAATGGTGACCTTGACCCTGTCCTTCCCAGCTCCAGAGAGCACCCCGTGTTGGCCACTCTGACTCAAAGTCACCCCCATGCTCCCACAGCCTTAAGAATTGAACAAAAGTTCTGGATTCTCCCCCAACAGGACAATGCTTCATTTTCCCGATGCTGATGAAATTCCTGGGCTCCCTAGAGCCATCCATGTGGACCTCACTCGGGAATCTCCGCATCCAGCCCCAGTACTCCTCTGAGGACAGGAAGCAGGCTGCAAGGGTCTGAGCAACTTGCCCAGATAAGACTGACAGTTGGTAGCAGTGTTGGATAGAGAAGCCTTGTGTTATCTGGCTGGCACTTCCAACACAGTACTGTGTGTTACCATCCATGACTGACTGAACGCCAACACAGACCCAGTGGGCATTAGGGAGGGTGCTGGCCGCTGCGATGACCAGGGCCCAGCAGCCTCTCAGATGGCCTCTGAGTCCTTCTCCTGCCTGGCCCGGATGAGCTGTGGGGAAACGGGGTTCTGTGCCCCACCTGACCCGCCTGGAGTTCCTTCTGTAGGTTAAACAAGAAGACAATGTTTTCACGGCCCAGGAGGGTCAAAGAACAAGGTGAGACCACGAGGAGGACTGTCTTAGCAAACTGTATTTTCTTATCACAAAGCGGTGTATTAAATGTACACGTCACCACTGCGAGCTGAATGAGCAGCAGATTATGAGAGGGACTGGACACCAGCTTGGTGGTTTCCATGACCGCAGATAGGAGATGCTAAGCCCTTGGAAGCGATTTCAACCATTCTGGGCCTCTGTGAATACAGGTCATACTCTGTGAACTACAAACAAGACCGGCAGGAATGGTGACCCCAACGCAGGCGTGCGTAAATCCCTTTTATCCTGGTTTTGAAAATCTAAAACTGCCGCGGGAAAGGCTTTAACACTTACCAATAAGTATATAAAATGTTTCTCCCACAAGCGTGGAATTAACCAGAACTCCGCCGATCTTCATGAGGTCGCTGTAATAAATATCGTTGGGCCACTTCACTCGCAAGTTGATATCCTAAAGGCAAAGTCTGCGTGTTACTTGAGCAGTCACGGGACACGACGCGCGCAGGCAAAGGCATCAGCCGAGGAGAGGGGCAGGACGCTCCCGAAACCGATGCAGCGTGGGCCTTGTCCTCCCTCCTTTTTCAGACACCGAACACTTCTTTGGGACAATCCAATGTGAAAGTACCTCCCGAGGCCAGGAAAGGAAGACCTCAAGAACATATTCAGCATAAATCCCAGCATCCTCTCACCCCCGCCCCCACCCGCCTCTGTCTCTCATCATGAAAAACATCTTCTGTCCACTTCGTTCAGTATCTCAAGGTCAACAACAGCCACCGCAGATTGTCTGCCATGCGCTATGGATCATCGATCACGTGTGTAGTGACAGGGGCCGGGAAGGTATAATACTCTCAGGGTTCCTGTGAAATTGCCCTCAGACGAATCACCTTCATAAAAGGCAGGTAGACGTGTCTAGAGCAGAAGGCTATGGAGACACAGAGGAGGAGCTTGTTTTACTGAGTGGTTACAGAAAGCCTCAGAACTGCCCTCCGTCAACCTGGGGGATGCACATGGACTTGTCACGTGACCCGCTGCCTCTCCCTCCTGAGGAATGGGGCTGAGGGGCATCTGCCTGGATTCCAAAGTGGAAATGGAGCCAGAGTGGACACTGCCTTGCCCACCAAGACCTCCACCTACCTGTGACTCTGAAGTTGCGATATGCAAACTGGGTCAGGCTGCGGGAGTGCCAGAACTCTCCAGGCTTCTGAGGCCGGGGGCTGGAGGCACATTGTGCCACATGTGCATAAAGGAAGCTCGTCTACACATGTGGGGCTGGAAGAGGCACTCAGCAACATGAAGCCCGGAGACCAGAGAAGGGCTGGTGGCCTCCCCGTGCTGCGGGGCTGGGCCTCCTGTGCTGCTGGCCATGCCCAGCGCCGCACCAGTCTCCTTGCCACTGACACTGAACCCAGTGCTGCTTCCGGGACAGCCCTACTGAACAGAGGAAGAAATTGAAGTCTGAGGAGAGGACGTGGCCTGCCGGAAGTGGCAGGGCTGGGATCCACAGCCAGGCTTTCTGGGGCAGGAGTTTGGCCCCTGCTGGGATGGCAGCGTCCCACCTCAGGGCGCCCGGGCTCATGTCCCAGCTTCACTCCTGATTCCAGCTTCCTATCAGCTGCAGACCCTGGGAACGGGCAGTGACGGCTCAAGTACGTGGGTCTCTGCCACTCACGGGGAGACCTGGATGGAGTTCCCGGCTCCCCGTCTCAGCCCCCACCACTGTAGGCATTTGGGGAGTGACCCAGCAGATGGGGGCTTACTCTGTCTCTCCAATGCAGACTTTTTTTTTTTTTTTGACAGGCGGAGTGGACAGTGAGAGAGAGAGACAGAGAGAAAGGTCTTCCTTTTGCCGTTAGTTCACCCTCCAATGGCCGCTGCGGCCGGTGTACTGCGCTGATCCGATGGCAGGAGCCAGGTACTTATCCTGGTCTCCCATGGGGTGCAGGGCCCAAGCACCAGGGCCATCCTCCACTGCCATCCCGGGCCACAGCAGAGAGCTTGCCTGGAAGAGGGGCAACCGGGACAGAATCCAGCACCCCGACTGGGACTAGAACCCGGTGTGCCGGTGCCGCAAGGCAGAGGATTAGCCTAGTGAGCCGCAGCACCGGCTCTGCTGGGCAATATTGAGAGGCAGTTCTGGTTGTCCCAGACTTGGGGGGAGTACTGGCTGGCACCCAGGGGTGCTGCTCCACCTATAACGCATAGGACGGCCTCCATGGTATTCACAGCGTCCAGGGAGAGAAACTCAGGAGCAGAGATCTGCAGCCTGGAGACCTGGGTCTTTGTCACTCTCCCAAGTTGCCTTTCTTTCTCCTCTCTTGCTCCCCTGCTCCCAGCTGTGCCCACCACACTGGCAGGGTACCCAAAGCTCCGACACAATCCCTCCACCCTGTGTGCGTAGGCCTAGTTAGCGAAGGAAGCAGCTCATGACACATGGGGGCCTCACACATACAAGAGAAAGGCACCGTGCTTATTTTTCATCTCAAACGTGGATTCAAGTAGTTACAGCAACCCTTCCATGTATGCAGCTGCTTTTAGAAGTCAGTGGAAGGGACAGGTGTCTGGCCTAGTGGCTAAGATGCCAGTGGGGATGCCCACTTCCCATAGCAGAGGGCCTGGGTTTGAGTCCTGGCTCCACTTCTGATTCCAGCTGCCTGCTAAGGCACACCTGAGAGGCAGCAGGTGACGGTTCAAGCACTTGGGTTCCTGCCACCTACGTGGGAGATCCAGGTGGAGTTCCTGGCTTCTGGCTTCAGCCTGGTCCAGCCTTGGCTGTTGCACGCATGTGGAGAGTAGATTAGTGGACAGAGATTTCTGTCTTTTCTTCTCTGCCTTTCACACAAATTAATAAACAGGGACCTCCCCTCCCCTCCCCTCCCCTCCCCTCCCCTCCCCTCTCCTCTTCTCTCTCTCTCTCTCTTTCTCTGTCATTATCCCTTTCAAACAAACAAATAAATAAATGGTTTGTTCTTAAAAAGATGCAGAGAGGCCGGCGCCGCGGCTCACTAGGCTAATCCTCCGCCTAGCGGCGCCGGCACACCGGGTTCTAATCCCGGTCGGGGCGCCGGATTCTGTCCCGGTTGCCCCTCTTCCAGGCCAGCTCTCTGCTGTGGCCCGGGAGTGCAGTGGAGGATGGCCCAGGTGCTTGGGCCCTGCACCCCATGGGAGACCAGGAAAAGCACCTGGCTCCTGGCTCCTGCCATCGGATCAGCGCGGTGCGCCGGTCACATCGCGCTGGCCACGGCGGCCATTGGAGGGTGAACCAACGGCAAAGGAAGACCTTTCTCTCTGTCTCTCTCTCTCACTGTCCACTCTGCCTGTCAAAAAAAAAAAAAAAAAAAGATGCAGAGAAAAGGGGAGGTGCAGGGACCAGGGTGGAAGGGAGGGTGCAGCAGCCCCGCAGGGACTTTGCAAACAGGAGCAGGTGGCCCCCAGTGAGCTGTGGAGGCCATGGAGAGCCATGGAACGAGGCTGTCTCTGGTCTGCGGGCAGTGGTCATGATCTGTGTGCTGATGGTGACATCTAGCTAGGGACAAGTTGGGGCCCAAGTGAAGGCCACAAGAAAAGTGAGCTATACCTGACCGGGGCCTATGCCAGTCGTTCAGGGAAACAATAAACCCACAAAGTCAACGTCGCATCTCAGAGAAGGGACTGAGACAGGCGACTGTGGATCTGGGAGAACTTTGGTGGCAGCCTCCTAAGGAGGACGGAGGCCCCTCGAGACCCCCACCCGACCCCCAACCCCGCACCACTGAGGGCAAGCTTCCCACCTCCCTCCAGTCCATCTGCCCCCAGTGCCTGGCACAGCATCCCACCAGGCTAATGAGTGAGGCTACAAGGTCAAAATCAAAGCCATGAACAAGCTCAACACACTCATTTAACATTTTAGATTCACTATGTGCATTAAAATGTACTTCAAGAAGTTGGTGGAAATGGATTTAAAAGATACGTTTACTTTGGTGCAAAAAAACAGGAATGCAGGCACAGTTTTTTCATAATATGCATTTCCGTGAACTGTGTGAAGACCTCTCGGAATGCATGGATCTCCACATTCCTTTGCACCAAAACAAACATCTTTTAATTCCATTTCCCGCCAACAGTATGCTTGCATTTTCCTGTCGCTAGCGTTAAAAATAGCTTCTCCAGCGACAGAACTTCGCATTGTTAACAGCTTCCTGTGAATCGGAGTGGCCAGCTCAGGGGCTGCGGACCAGCACTGGGTGTCCTACAGCAAGCGAGGGCCGTGCCTGGCAGTAAGTGTCCGTGACAGTGACTTCTGGAATTTCCGGGAACATGGACTGCGGGGTTGTCTGTGTCTGTGGAACACAGAGAGGCACACGCACACACAGGGAACATGAGGCTGTGCCATGTGGGGAGGATTTGAACACCAAGGACGGACTCCTGAGTCTCCTTTGAGCTCTGTGCTCTTAACATCTTGCTTCAGGATTCAATATAATCTTTTCTTTTTTTTAAAAGTTTTACATGGCAGCTATAGGTGGTGGGAGGCAGGGGAGGAATCCCTTTTTCATATCCACGTGAGATTCTTCCAGGAGCCTTTTGTGTATGTGTGGGGATGCACGGGGAACAGAGCTCAAATATGGAAGAAAAGGCTTCAGTCACTGTGTTGAAAGTGCTGTTTTTCCTTTCTTTCTTTTTTTTTTTTTTTTTTTTTTTTTTTTTTGACAGGCAGAGTGGACAGTGAGAGAGACAGAGAGAAAGGTCTTCCTTTGCTGTTGGTTCACCCTCCAATAGCCACCACGGCCGGCATGCTGTGGCCGGTGCACCGCATTGATCCGATGGCAGGAGCCAGGTACTTCTCTTGGTCTCCCATGGGGTGCAGGGCCCAAGGACTTGAGCCATCCTCCACTGCACTCCCTGGCCACAGCAGAGAGCTGGCCTGGAAGAGGGGCAACCGGGACAGAATCCAGCGCCCCGACCGGGACTAGAACCCGGTGTGCCAGCGCCGCAAGGCGGAGGATTAGCCTATTGTGCCACGGCACCCGCTCTTTCTCTTCTTAAAGACTTATTTATTTATTTGAAAGGCAGAGTTACAGAGAAGGACAGAAAGAGAGAGAGAAAGAGAGAGAGAGAGATCTTCCAAGCTGCAACAGCTTGGGCTAGTCCAGGCTGAAGCCAGGAGTCAGGAGTGTCTTCCAGGTCTCCCACATGGGTGAAGGGGCCCAAGGATTTGGGCCTACTGCTTTCCCAAGTGCATTAGCAGGAAGCTGACAGCTGGGACATGAACCAGCACTCATAGAGGATGCTGGCACTGCAGGTGGCAGCTTAACCAGCCACGCCACAGCGCCAGCCCCTCTTCTTAATGACTGACACCAAATCATCTGGCAGTGATAATGGTGCAGGCACATCTCTCCTGACAGCTGGGGACGAGGGTCCCAAACAGCCCAGGATGTTGAACGTGGTCAACCGCAGACAAAGTCTGAGGAGCACAGACTACAGGATTTAGATAAGGTCAGAAATGGGAAGGATTTTGGGGTCTCTAAAATAAGACATTCAACAGAAAACACAAACAGCTCCCATCCACTCCGACACCCAAGAATCATCCAAAGTTGTAAAAGGTGTGTCCTTATCAGGGTATCTGAGAATCAGGAGACCCAGGGATCCGGTGACCCCGAGGCAGCAGTGGCACCTGGGGGCGTTCTCACAACGCCAACAGCACTTGGCCGCCAGCTCTGGCGAGGGCAGGTAGAGGCTCAGTCCCACTGAGCGACCAAGCGGACATGGGCTCCACACACAAACGAGCCGGATCCTGCACGTTTCCAGGAGGCAGTGACTGTCCGCGGTACCCACCTGATACTCGGGGATGGCCCTGACCGCTTCCACGACGGCCAGCGACATCAGATGCTGCACGAAGGGGATCCTCTGTCCCAGCGGGGACCTCAGCGGGATGGAGACCAGCAGCGTGGAAAGGGCGCATCCCGCGGGGCTCAGCCAAGCATTGCGTCCTCGCCCTGCAACACAGGCCCTGCTGGTCACAGGGACGGCCTCGGCCGCGTGCACAGGACAGCCCTCCCACCGGAATCCGCCTGCACTTCTTACAGTTACTGTGGGGCTTCTGGGCTTGAGTCAGGAGGAGAAAAGCGACTCAAAACTGGAGGGTCTGTGGCCGAGGAGGTTTCCAATAATTAGCACCACGTCCGCTCTCTGTGGCCCACCGTTCACGCTGCGATGATTCGCGGCCTCACAGTGTGTATCACTCTAAGCTTCATACTCGCCACAGGGCCGTGCAGGCGACAACAGAGTGGCTGGGAAACCACAGTGAACCTACACCGACCCACGCCAAGTTCTGGGAACTATATTTTAGAGGTGCCCCCTCTGGCATAGCCTGGCAAATGTATTAGAAACCATAGCTGCACACCCTAAATGGAGAAATTGTCTGGCACATGGATTACGTTTCAGTAAAACTGTTTAAAGGGAAAAAAAAAAAAAAGATCCCGGCTTCCTGCACCCTGGGAAGCAGCAGGGGATGGCCTAAGTACCTGGGCCCCTGCCACCCACATTGGAGACCCGGATGGAGTTCCTGGCTCCAGGCTTTGGCCTGGCCCAACCCCAGCTGTTGCCGGGATTTGGCAAGTAAACCAGCGCATGAAAGGTCTCTCTCTTTCTCTTTGTTTCTGTTTCTCTGCCTTTCAAATTAAAAATGAAAATAAATAAATGGAAAAGGAGTTTTTCAAAAAGATCCCTCATATTAACTTGGTAAGTTGTTCCTTTTCCTGAAGCAGAATTCAGGAAAATAAAACAATCAAAATGAGAGGTACACTTAACTGAAGTCCGTACTGAGTCCCATAGCTTTTGATAAAATGAATTTCTTTTTTCTCTTTGACTTATGTTCCAAAGACAGATCCAAGGGAAAGAATTGGGAAACAGTAGATTCCTTATTTCTTTGCTTCCTTTGAGAAAAACCACAGGAGCCTCCAAGAGCTAAAAAGTACACGTGGGTTGCCCTGGTGCTGCCGGCTGGGGGCAGGGGCCAGCCATCTGCCGGGTCCCACCAGGTGCCCCTGCACAGACCAGGGAAGGAACTGCTCCAGGCCAGGCCCTAGGTGGGTGTTGGGAGGACCTGGGCTCTCAGCTCCAGCGCCTGCAGGTGTGTACACCCTGAGCGGTGCTCTGCTTTCCTTCCGGGTCAGTCTGTGGATGGGCACTGCACGTGCAGCGGGGGTGGGGCCTGGCAAGCCACGGGCTCCTCCTGTGACAGCCAGCACAGACCCGGGAGGCACCTCCTGGGGAACCTCCAGAAAACAAATGCCCTGAGAACACAGCCACGAGCCAGTGTGCGAGGGAGGAGAACGTCCAAGTCGTAGGGAAGCGGGTGTGCCAGCCACCACGGGCGAATGTCAAGTGACTGACAGGCACCATCCTCCAAGAGAAAGCCTTCACTGTGCCCAGGCTGCACCTGCCCAGTCGCCGTTTCCTGCCCTCTCCCTACGTCCCAGGAAGTCATGGAAACAGAGTCCAAGCCCCAGCTGCTGCGCCCGAGCGTCACAGATTCCAGGAGAGAAGAGTTAACGGCAACGTCACGAACGATGACTGACCTTTGCCCTGGGTTTGCCGGACCGCGATGGCTATTAAACCCATTTCCGGTGGCATCTCAAACATCAACCTGCAAATGAGGGGAAAGACTGGTCAGCCAGAACCGCCAGAACAGGACACAGGCGCTCAGACAGGAGGGGGCCGGCATCTGCGTTCACCTGCGGGGCTGTGGCCGGGAAGAGCCCGCTTCCCGCTCCAACCCTGGGCAGAAAAGCAAGGCCAGGAGGGACAGTCCCTCTCCCGGGGGACGCCCCTGTGGCGAGAATCCTTGCAAAAGGGTGAACCAAAAAGGCGGGGGAGGAGAGCGTGGCAGGTGTACCTGCCTGAGCTTTATCCCGTTTACCTAAGGCTGGGTTCGTTGACATTTCCCCAGAACATCTTATCAAGGTCCCCCTTCTTCGAGTGACAACCTAGCAATCGCCAACATTTGTTCCTACTTACGGTGCGTTTCTGTTCAAACGGCCAAAATCCAATCGCCACAGAAGTTTCTGATTACTCAGAAAGCCAATATGGTGGCAATAAAGCCGTTTAAAAGACACACTATCCCCTGAGAACTAATTATGCCTTAACTCTCGTAAATAAATCCACACCTTCTGAGAACTACGGACAGCATCACTGCAGGCTGCGGGTCTGCTTTTAAAACGGTTTCATTTAAAAGAACACAAAGTTCCCTGCGGGGGAGAGGGGCAGATGGGCTGCATCTCCACAAACTTCTTCTCTGTACCGGGGAAAAACACCCCAAACCCTCACTGGGAACCGTCTCCAAGTTCCACCGCACCTATTTTAACTTGGTGCGGGGACAGTTTCCTCCAGGGTCCCGGCGGTTCCTGATCGGGGACAGAGCACACGCAGTGCCTGGTAGCACTGATTAAACACAGCCCGAGTCAGGTTCGCTCACTTGTCGGTGCAGCTGGAAGGGCCCCTTTGGAAGGGGCGTGGCAGGGGCTGGGGCCGGAGTGGGGGGGTGAGGACGGCCTGGAATTTTGCATTCACACAGAGCTTCCACTACAGGGTTTGGAGTGTTCCACAGCATGGGGGACGTTCAAGGAGCAACCCGGCTCTCTTCCACGCTCAAGGAAGCGGGTGGACCTTTATAAATAGCTGGAGCTCCCAGCAACAGAAGAGCAGAGACAAGCTACGCAGTGCCCCCTGCACACCGCAGGCTCACGGAGCTCTGTCTGCCCCTGCATGAGGGGCACAGTTAGGAAAGCAGAGCCCCGAGGGTCCCTGATGGGTGAAGAAGGTCGTGCAGGGCTGTGCTGGTGGGACGGTCGTCTCCCCACTCCCCAGCCCCGGCTGCTGCGGCAGGCATGGGGCACTCCGGGCAAGCCGTCCGTGTGCCAGTCCCTCTTCCATCGCGCATGAAATACAGCCCAGGACGTATTTCTCTTGGACACTGTGAATGACTCATTGAGATGGGGTGTGCCCATGCTTCGCTGGGCCCCGAGAATAAAGCGTCCCTTTCTTGTGCCGGCCCGGCAGCAAGGCCTGAGAAGGATTCTTTGTCCACGCTGGGAGCTAACATTGTCTTCCAGGAGTGCTTGCTCCCCAAAGGCCGGGGGCGGGGGGCTGTAAGGGGCGCACGCTGGGATCAGACTGCAGGCCATCTAGGATGTTCTTTAAATAAACATGGAGGCAGCAGACAGTCAAAGGCTGGAGCCAGGGATGGAGATGGCGATGGCGGGAGGGGTGGGGGACGCAGGAAAAGCGTGGGTTCGGAAACCAAACACAGACTCGGAGAACAAAGAGAAATGATTAACGGAACACGTGCGCTAAACTGCCGGCGGCTCAGGGCAGCAGCTCCCAGGGCATATTAATCAGCAGAGCGAGTCTGCGCTGCCCAAGGCCGAGAGGGGATTTCTGCACAGAGGGAGCCGGGAGCCGCCAGGGCGAGGAAGGGGCTCGGCTCAGTTTGAGACAACTGGAGGCCGCCAGATTTATTCGTGCCATCTGAGATAACTCTGGGGGCTCAGCCCGACCACAAAGGCACATTCAGGAACTCTGTGAATTTCGCGTTTCTGAGTACCAAGCAAAGCTGCGCCCGCTTGCGTTAGTAGGAGGCAACCACCAGGCTCGTCCTCCCGGGGCTCGGCAAGGCTGCTCACGCCACAGAGCAAAGAACGACCCCTGGTTCACCTCCCTGCCTCTGTACATTTCCTTTCCTCACTGGCCCAGGCTGAGGACGCACAGGCTCCCAGGTCCGGGCTGGACCCCTGCGTTGTGACCCTGGAACATCCGAGCGAGGGAGGGTCACGGTGCCGCTGCCGCCACGGCCTCCCAGGGGGGCTTGGTTTCCACGAGATCTGGAGGGAAGCTCCCCTAACTCAGGCTCACCCAGAATACATGCTAGAGAGAATTGGTGGAACTTCTGAATGAACGAAAATGTGAAGTCCGACCCGGTCTGTCCACGTCCATCACGGTGTCGTGGAAGTGAGAATCTGGAAACAGCCTCACCTCTCAACAGGGGAACGGTTAAACACGGTGTGGAACATGAAGTCAGGCAGTGATTTGCAGTCATTACAGACGACAGGCATGAAGATACGCAACACGCAAAAAGATGCTTGCACACAATGCTCAATAAAAAAGAAGAATATAAACTCCACGGAAACTTTCATTCCCACTATGTAAAACTCAGAAAAAGGAGGGAGTGCGATTTGACAAAATGTTAACTGTAGCTACATTAGGATGATTCTTTTTCTTGTCTTTAAATTTTTCTTTCATATGATTGGTTACCTTTTAATTTAAAAGTGACTTTTAAACTTTTCGGGGGGTTAAAAGCATGCACTTTACCTTTAGAAATAGTATTCACAAATATTTCTCTTTTAAAAATAAGACAATGGCCGGCAGCACCCACTGTATAATACCTGACGAGCAAGAGCCTAAAGGATAGTAATTAATGCGCAGAAATTCTTCAAACCATTCTGTTCGTGCAATGAGAGACTTAGAAACTCTGCACTTTCTGACCCAGTGCCTGTACTTCTAGACTTGAATCCTCAGGAGTATGCAGACAGGGAAATAAAATTCTTCTGGCACACAGCCATTCGCTACAGCGTTACTGATACATTGTGGAAAACCAGAAATAATCGAACTATTATTGCCCACGAAGGAGGAGTGGAAAAAAATCACAGGCTCTTCACGTGGAACAGAGCCACCCCGCCATCCGCGCGCCACGGGGGCCAGCGCCCGTCGGCAACTATCAGGCGGTTTAATCGGGATGTAAAGCCCCACATCCAGCCGGATTCTGGTGGTGCTTTCAAATCGACTAATCAGCTTTTAGCAGCTGTTAGGAAATATGCCAAAGTATTGGCATATGTCTGAGAGTGCAAGTATTTTTGAGAAACAGAAAAATGCGAAGTAGAAATTAAGTCATCAAGTAAGACTCACTTTTCATTAAAAGCAGACATCCTCCTAGAATTTTTCTCCTTTTAAAAAGTACACAATTGTGTTTTCTAGTGATTAGAAAATTTTTATCCTTGGAGCTACTAAAATGAATGTTGTACATGTATAGTTAGGGACGGTCTTACTATGAGGGAGCTTCTACAAATTTATGGAAATGTGTCTTATGACAAAGACTGCATGGACTTCAAAACACTTCTGCACTAAGATAAAGTAATCGGTTAATTCCATTTTCTAAGAATGTTTTGAAGTAGCCTCATATATGGATAAGTCCCAAAAAAGAAAAAAGAGGAAGGCTTAACACCAGTGTACCCTTTAGGTAAAATGTGTGTTATAGCAGAAGGAGGAGGGAGATATGTGTTCATTTTAATTTCTTCTTGAAGTTGTTCTATGCGATCTCTGTGCAGGAAGATTTCAAGAGATTTTCATTTGCCTTTCTATGCGCTTCTATAACCGCCAGTATTTCTACAGTTGGAGGCATTCACTCACTACAGTCAGGAGACAGGAGATGCAAACCGCTCTGGTAAGCGGCTTCAGCCCACTCACCTGCCGGGGCAGTGACCCCTTCCTTCCCAGCGACATCACATGGGGGGCGGCCACCTGTGTGAGGGTGTCCCAGGCACACTCCTGCCCAGCCCACTCTGATCTCCCACAGGACACACCACGGCCGCACGGGCTGGCGCACATCACCTCTGGAAACCTCGGTATACATTTAGCCAGGACTCCCTCTCCCAAAGAGACATGAAGCCTTTCACTGGAAGGACTTCCCACCCCACAGCCGCGCCTCCCGACCCCCTACCCCATTGGGCATCGGGCTCCAAGGGTTGCCAGAACCAGAGTCAGGCGCCAGGCTGGGCTCGGCGGCCTTGATGTCCCCAGCCTGGGGCGCCGGGGGCTTCATCAGGCTGTGGCTTTTTCCCAGCTCAGGAGTGCGGCCTGGGGCTGCCCCCCACTTTCCCTGCCCGGTTCTGATCCCCTCTCTCGGCTCTCAGAGAAGACACACATTCTCAGGCCTTCCCCAGGTTTTCCATATGTGCAGAAGAAACCAAATCCAAGGGTTGGAGGACGAGGGAAAAGGGGGGTGTGGGCGGACGCACAGGGAAGCCTCGCTGCTTGCTTCTGGCTTACACACACACACACACACACACACACACTGGGAGCGTTTACAGCCTTAACACACTGCCGTGCAGTTCAAATGCAAGAGTAGCGAATTTCACTTCAAAACTATTTTTTAAAATGTATTCCATTATAAAAACAAGCCATCATCTGTGGGTAGTGCTTTTTTTTTTTTTTTTAAGCTAAACTATCAAGATCCTCTGTTTTTTCACAAGTGCCTCACAGTAACAGCCCAGCTGACCCTCTTGGCAGGAGCTTGGAAGGAAGATGGACAGTGTTTTCTGCTCAACACCACCATGTGATCTGCAGCAAGGCACACATCGGGGTGTGGTCTGGGGCAGGTCAGGGCTGGCCTCTGGCCAGCGACTCTGACCTGGTGGCCAGGAGAACGGTGGTCCCGAGGCAGCTCCCTGGGGCTAGGATTCCGGGCAGCCAGGGTAAGGTTTCCAAGGAAGCTTAGGAATAGCATGGCCGAGTGGAGACTCAGACAGACAAGGAACCAGACCCTAGGGCTGATGGGAACCGGCATGGAGCAAGGGGCTCCATCTCTCCCAGTCT